TTCTCCGAATATTTTTCCAATTATTACAAGAATCATTGGCAAAGAGATAGATTAGCTCTTCAATAAACCATACTAGACAGATACTCGTAATGATGTTAATCGTCAAACTATTTAAATTACACGTTTACCTCGATCTTCGGTTCTACGATATATTACTGATGACTAGACGTTGAACGTAATCATCGACGTAACGGACCATTCCGTTCAACGAATTCATAAAGAATACGCGTAATAGATTGCAAATGCCGCATGTATGACAGGTGAACTAAAAAAAACCAATAGATAATAGAAACAATATAAAGAGAGAGACCCAAATGGGTGAGCCAATGAATCGAGAATTACGATAACGAACCAATTACCTGTAGCTTAATATCCGGAAGTATCAGCATATTATCCCCAACTCTCAACAAAACAATAACCAGTGGATAATAATATTAAACAAACTTCACAACACTGAAATAAATGAAAGACTGCACGGACTGAGTCGATGCACCTGCGAGTTTCTTCCCTCTTCTTGCTTTCTCCCTCCACTGGCTCCACCGGAAATGTGCGAGTATTTTAGCCCAATTAAGAAGTCACAAAATTCATAATTGGTGATTTATTTATTTATTTATTATTATTAATATTATTTTTATTTATTATTTATTATTATTTATTATTATTTATTATTGTTTTTATTGCTATTATTATTATTATTATAACTTTGCTGGTGCCAACTGATTGTGTTTTGAAGACGTTGAAAGTTGGAATTGTGATATATAATATTTGACATTTGAAATGGCGAGAGCTCGACGGCTCGACGACTCGACGACTCGACGACTCGACGACTCGACGACTCGAAAGTCGACGGCAACCGGTTGAGAGTTTCAGAGTGCGTCGCACCGATGGCTTCAAACGTGTGCGGCACTTGCAGCACCTTCCACCGGAGGTGGTTTTCTACCCGATGCTCACCGTGGCTCAAGCCACGCAATAAGATTAAAAGAGGAAAATATAGCTTTAATGAAAAAAGAATGGACTGTAGTAGGCGGGTTCTAGCGACAGGGATGGGGGTAAGCGCGAGAAAAGTTTAAGATGGTGGGGAAAGAGGACTACATCCTAGGACCCAGGTTTTTCCACTGGAATCTACCAAGACTATGGAGTCAGTTACCTCTCTCCATAAGCGAATAGAGTCAAAGCTGAAGCCTTTCACCAAGGAGAAAATAAATGCGAGATTTACCGTTTAAGTAGCCTGCCATCTTAATGCGTCCGTTTCAATCGATGAAATTGAATATGTAGAGTGAAATGTCTCGTAGAGTTTTGTTGACGCACTAGACAGGTAATTTGTTGCTTGTCAGGATGGAGAAATGGGAGAAAATCCCTGGCATTGGGAAAAAATCTGTGGTAGATCGGGCTGGGGGACTTGATTTTCTGCGCTTTTCAGTGGCCACTTTCTTTCAATGAAATTACGTAATTTTTATAAACGATGCTATTTGTCTATGTCTGATAAAAAAATTTCCACTTGAATTGAAGAAATCTATAAAAATGTTTTCACTCAACAGGTTGAATGTGATTTTTTTACATTATGATTTTTATTGTAAAACTTTTATAACAAGAAATGTGAAAAAACCCTTGGCACAGTATTTAAATTGAATGACAGAGGAACGCCATCAGATTACTAATTAGGAAAATATGAGGCTTCAATTTTTTTTCCTTTGTCATTTTTCCGTTCTTCAAATATTTTTAACATTATTATTGGACAATGACCAGAAATTTCGAAATATACGCACCCGTTTTTGAGGGCCTGTCTTAACTATACAACTTTTATCTTTCATAATTGTTCGACTGAGTCATCAAACACCATGACTTTGGAAAAACATAAGAATTTATATTTTTTATAAATTAGCATTTGCGTACCGTAAAAATAATGCATGATTCGATGCGATTTTTCCATGAAGAAAATTCATACAACTCTTAGGTCTATCAGCTGCAATGCTAATTAATGCTGTGTAATTCTTACTCTACTTCAATTACAACATGTCTACAACTTTACCTTTCTTAAAGTCAATAAACGTAATCCGCGCTTGACGAGCCGCTTTCCGAGTCACCCCGTGACTCACTATAAACGGGTTAATGACACCAGGAAACGAGAGCTATGCTTCTTGCAGTTTTTGATTAAAAAGAACAAAAAAAAAGACAAAATAAATGGCTAAAGCTATTCTTTCGTCTCGCGTTTAATCTGCTATTTATAACAATATTTCATATTGTCAGAAGCTCAACTGAAATTGAAATCGGAGATAAAAATGTCAATTGGCACCTTAAATCCCGTGGCAAAACTTCTACTGTATAAAATTTGTATGTTCCAACAATTGGACAAATGTTTCCGCTTATTTAGTATGTTTGATACCGCACCCCATAGAGTCGCAATGACTCAGAAAAGTCACCAATTGGCTTGAACTCTCCATTTCTAGCCTGCTTTTCATTCAAACCGCGATGCACTGTCACTCAAAGGTCCTCAACAAGCACGCATTCTCCATGCAAGAACAACCGCTCGGTCAGGTGACAATATTTTTTTTTACTTTGCTTTTTTTTTCTCATTCAGTTGGATTGTTAGAATAGTGACGTCGTTGAGGTATATACGGTGGCCATTGAGGCATACATAATACGACAGACGCCACCGGAAGTACCTCGTCTGGACGACACCTGTCTGCATGACGTCACTACACGATCGATCGACTGCAATGTGAACTTCATGTGTCTTAGTCATTATACACAAGTGATATTTACATTGATATCTTCTTAATGTAGTCAGCAAGCAAACGACTCGCTGACTGAGTTGACTGATCTCATCAAATTTTTGAAAAATTTACGCAATTATCAGGACCCACAGAAAAACATTCCATTCTGTTTCACTTTTTCCTCATTTTTCTATCAACATTTCTAAAACCTCCTCCTTGAATTCTTCAATAAAATGTACTTTGAAAACCTATTCCGAGATGAACATTTTTTATGTTCTTTCTCATTTTATGACTTTCTAAATTTTTCTCCCATTATGGTGGCAATCAGCTGTAAAAATCCGACTAAAATATCATGATTTCGTGGAACTCTTCGATAAATTAAAATGGAAAAAAGCAATGATAATAATGGTGTTGTAAGTTCATATCGAGACCGTAAATTCATCACCGTAACAATTGTTTGAACACTCGATCGTTCGCTTACTCCACTTACAAACGAGGCCGTAATGTGTTTATGTATTGGTTAATATCTTATGGTTATGTAGGTTCCAGTTAAGATTCAGCATTTTAATTCCTGTACGCATTTTACGACACTTGAATCATTGAAAAAGTGGTGAAAATGATGCATCAATTTTTCGAGCAAGTGAGAAAAATCTTGATGACACGAGTTTTCTTAGTTTTTTCGCGAGTGTACGTGAAATCGAGTGACAACAATGGCTGTTTTTTCCTCCTGAATGCTGGGGTAATTGTAGTGGAGTGGCGGTTGTCGGTGAGATGTTGTACGGCCGCCCCGTGCCATCATTGCACATGTGCTGGTACAAACAATGGGTAAGACGCGCTTGGTACAGTTTCCATGCAAAAAGAAGACCAGTATTTTCTAAAGAAATATCCTAAGCCTTTTGTGTCTCACGACCAAACGCGTCCGTTCACTCTCTTTTCTTAGACAAAAGTATGGATACGTACGTTTTCTTCAATATACTACTAGCGCATATAGCCTATCTTACATTTATAGATGTTACCTTCTGATATATTAAAAAAATTCTAATAATTAATTTGTATATCTGCGGATTTAAGATGGTTGATGGGGGTAGTGAGTGGGTGGATCAACTGATTTTTTTTTTTCATAGGTGTGCAGAAATGGCTATAATTTTTTATATATAATATATAATATTTCTCAGCGTTCTTTTGCTATTGCCTGTATATATAATACTAGCAATCATGTGCACTGTCGCGCGCTCTACCTCTAAATGAGCGCTGTAGCGTACAATAACATCCTCGTAATCATGGAAATGATCAGTCGATCCATCGATCAATAGGAAAACGGATAAATGATTGACAATGAAAACAATCATTCATTGTTCATCTCTCTTATGGTTTCAAAAAAAATGAAGAAGAAGAAGAAGATTAATATTATATTATATTATATTTATGAATACTATATAGTATGTTTTCAAATATTTTATCTACATTATGTAATTTTTAATATTTAAATTAAAAGAAATACATATATTTATCACATGCTTTTTACATGCTTCTTTCAAACAGACAATATTGTCCGCGAATAGATTTTCACATGTGGCTAGAGAAAAAAAACACGTGATTTTCGCACGAGGCAACCTTGCAACTCTCTCGGAGTATTTACCATCTTCGGTGGCATAAGCCTTCGCTCATAAATTCCCTAATCTCTCCTGGGAAAACACTAACATACCCTCGCGATAATCGATCTCGCGTTTTAATGTTTGGTTATTAGATGATAACGCGTGTTTCTTTACAGCTGCTAATTGCCGATTATTCTGAGAGATTTAAGCCAACTTCCGATGACTTCATTTATTTATCTCTATATTGCATTTCAACATCCCCCTTGTTTGCCATCCAGTGCCAATAGTTGAATCGCTTCGTCTTATTATTCCTCCACCATCATATTTATCTTCTTACTCATACTTTTATGATAAATGAAAAAAATTAAAAGGAGTGACGTGACTGAGCATTCATATATTCATTTAACTTTTTAGTGAAAAAAACGCCGGATTTCCCGATGATTTGCCACCGACGAGAATACAATTTTTTCGTGGAAGGAAAGATGAGTTGATCTCTTGTGAAGTATTTCTCGAAAGCATCATATCCTCATTTGGCCGCTAACCAATTACTATGTTTGCTACGTAATACCGATTTATTTGATGCAATTCTCACGTTCAACAGAGACAACGCGTAAGAAAAAAAAGTTATCAAAAAAAAAAAAAAAAAACATTAAGATAATGTGTGAAGCATCTCAAGGACGTGTGGACTCACCCGAACAAAACGTGGCTTGTAACCTTCATCATCCAGGATATCGCCTGCCACTATCGGAATATTCATTGTACCATACTATTCCTCAGCTTGAATCCAAAATAAGTGACACTGACTCACAACCCATCCCTCAATTCCCTCTATACTCTCGATCTTACGTCAATGGTACTCGATTTCACAGTGTTTACACAAATGATAAAAATTAGGCATTAATGAGTTCTAACTCCAGGTAGTATTTACATGGGTTTGACCCAAATGGCAAACTTTCTAATCACCTTTGCATTCACGAAAATCCACATTTATGCGTCACTATCACAACGTTCTGTCTTGTTTGACTCCAACCACATGAATCATATGAATTGTTGGTCATTGAAAAAAAAATGGCAATAAAATGAGTGCGGCTAGAAGGGGGTCACTGGGTTAATTCATATCAAAAAAGCGCGCACTTTATCATTGGTCGCTAAATACTGAAGAGTGAATGCCACTATGTATTGTCGAGATGCGCATTGTCGCATCATGATCTCTCGTGCGTATTTTCACATTTTCGAATGGAAACTTGTTATTAAAAGGCTGATTTAAAAAATGATTGGTTATGAGCACGAGCGACGAGTTTGTCGAGTGTTATGTCCGGCGGTTGTACCTCGCTACCAGAAGACTCCCCTCCACATTTTTAAACGGTATGCCAAGCTTACCTGCTGTATGATTCTACCTCTACGTGTTTGAGTGTTGGTGTACACGTGACACGATAGCCACGATAGCCACTATACTAAAAACCGAGTGTACACACGAGTGAAGGTGAATTCTGTATCTCGACATGTTCAATCCGGCGAACCCAACCAACACATAAACCAACTGGCAAGGGGTACGAGTGTCGGTGTAAATGCAGTGAGTATACCTTGAGCGCAGTTGAGCTGGTTGGGCTTGTTGTTTGTGTTTGTGTTTGTAGTCTTTGAAGCGCGTCGATGAAAACAGGTATGGGGGGCTTTAGGGAAGGAGGTGCATACTGCATCGGTACAGTGGAAATTGTGGCTTTTCTACCCAACCACACCCCACGCATTAATTACATTCAGGCCTTTTTATCATCTCTCAATCATGTCAAGTAGGCCCACTTTTAAAATGTTCGATGCGTTGCGATGGAGCATCCATCGATGGTTCCACAAAAAAAAATTCAAAAAAAAATATTCATTTTTTTTTAATAAAGGACAGCTGGATTTAATAATATTCAAAATAGTCCATTATCCTCCAACTGCGGATGAGACCTCTCAAAAGAGGTAACGGCATTTTGGTGGCTCCAATTGTTAAATCTTTTTACAGAGATATTTAAATTTAACCTTTTACGCACTGTTGGGGAGCAGTGATGTCTCTTTTCAATTACTAGCGCCGCCCCAGCCGCTAAAGCGCTCGGGATGTTGATGAAATTCCCGTTTTCAAATGCATTTGCAAATGTTTTATGCAAATGATTATTGATGTTTCGGTAGTGACTCATAACTAATTTGACTAAATTGAGTAAGATCGATTTGAATCAATATGAGTCGATTTAGTCGATTTGAGTCTATATCGAATTTTGAAATTATCACAGTCTCGTGCATTTTTCTATATCAATCAACCAGCCAACCAACCAATGTTGAATTTTTTTAGAGATGAAAAATGATTTTTCTTCAATACCTAAAGGTGGAAATTTCTCATAGTGAAAATTCTCGGGATAATTCGGATGGAGGATGTAATTTCGCATCGAATAGAGCTTGTTTTGCCCTTTAATTCTAATTAAGAGAGAAAAGATGAATTTTTAAGACCGAGTGAATTCCTTGTAGATCACTGGGCGCTTCAATGTTCCCCACTTAGTTTCCGCCGGTGAAGACTTCCCACTTTAGTTCACCAATCTGCTCGATTCCCCCCACTCTATTTCTACCTCTCCTACGCCGACCCCAGCGGGATTGTAGTACCTCACCCCAAGGGAGAGAGGGCGTCACACGCAATTTTGCATGTGGGGTCGATGCCGCTGGGGTCACTCAAACCTCCAGAACCTCTCCTGAGCCTCTACTTCAGTCAATCCTCTTTACTCTCAGCCTTGTGCCCTGCCTTATTCACCGATACGGTCTCTAATGTAGTTCCGCAATCGCGGCTCAGAAAAAAAAATAAAGAAAAAAAGAATCATTTGAAAAATCAACGGGCAGAGGGAGATACTGTCTTGAATAGATCACAGGAGACCATCCTCTGTAGATAATATAGAAACCATTTTTTTTCAAATTTCTATGCGGTTTAGTCTAGTAGTAGAGATAGAGATAGAACAATCCTTTTTGATTTAAAGATCGGGAAAGATTAAAAAAATCATAGTGATTTTTTAATACAAATTTCGTGACAGAAATACCACTGAATATTGTAATGAATAATATTCAAATAATTTTTTAATAAAGAAAGGAGAGGAGGGCTCCGGAATTGCAACTGTAACTGTAATATTTTTTACAGTACAAGCTAGTGTTCTCTGAGAAGAAACAATATTAGCCGCATATTGGTCTGCTAGCTCATGTTCTTGGAATCTACCGGATTTAATCCATAATTAATCAACATCCAGCATTAAGATGAATGAAAACCTTTTTCATCACGTTCAATTGACATGCACGTATTCTCGTTTTCTTACATAAGTCCACCTCAGCAACAAACAAAGCTAGAATCACGTTTCATTGATTATGTTTTTTTTTTCTTAATGACGACGGTACAACGATTTATGAGATTACATTATTATGTACATTTAGTGTGGAACGATGGAAAAAATACGAGTAGTTTGATCACAGCCTCTTTAATACGGCAAGATAGCAACAAGTAATAATATACTCGGATATTTGTGTATCACGTGGACATACTAATAACATTGGTAGCCTCTAGTAATTTAGTAACAGTGGTAGCGAGTTTGCAAGAGACTGCTTTCATAAGGAGTCGGCTTTTTATTCCTGCAGTGTGAAGAGCAAGATGATAGACATCGGCAAAAAACTGAAATTAAAAAAATTATTTAATGGAATGGAATTTTTTTTGAAGTTGGCAAGGAGAGACGGCGAGTGCAAGGATGATTATGATTACCTCATTATCATATTGATCTAACGGTTTATCAGAGAACTCAGATCCCACTTCGGTACACTGAATGAGCGTAGTTTGAAGGGGCGTCACCAGTAGCATTATATTAGATCGCTCCTTAGCGATACATCCGTGTAATTCTTTGATTTGCATGACAATTTGTCTGGCAGTGCCAGCTGCATTCCACCGAGACCATGCGAACATGTAGGCTGTGCAAAGTAGTCCCATGCATGCCTGAAGGTGTCTCTCAGTCACTGGATGCTTAACTGGTAGACCTTTGACGTAACTAATTGCATCTCTGTCCGGAAACAAGTCACAACCACCGGCCCTCATTTTCTACGATGATTTTTCATCCATTAGTCCATGGAAAGGGATAATGTACTTATTCAGATGGTACTTTACTCGAATAAGGTGATTTAATTTCATGTATTTGCCGACTAGGTCCTGCAGTGCTGCAGTGCCTCCGCCTGCCAAGGAATGGAGACAGACTGAGTCCTCCTGTCGATTAGTTAATTGCCCTCATTGAGTTGAATAATGAAACGAAAGAATTTAGAGTGACCACTGAGAGAGTAAAAATGCTAATTCGGATGAATTATGTGTGTTATGTAAATTTGATTTCCTCTTCAATTTCCGATGTGTATCGCTGATTATTCATTCAAGAAATCGTGTTGTAATATCACGACTTCTTGTTACTGACCGATCGTCAGTCGTTAGAGGCATTTTTCTTTTTTATCATTATCGGAAATGGAAAATATTCTTCCTGTTTGCGGGTAATTGGAAATGGTGGGTAGAAAAAATTTCCTCACTTTGACAATGAATTCAACTTGGACGATAGCCGCGGAGATGGTGAGCACTACTCCACCGGCCTTTCCGGTTTCCGGCCTCAGTTCCCAACTCTGAAAAGGGAGATTGACAAATTTGTAACCAGCAAGACCGTGAACTCCCAGTCTGCCTGATCTGAATGTGATTATCTGCTTTTCCTCATTGTATTTAATATCGTGAACGTCTTGAGTTGACCAAATCCTTCTTTCTGGGATCCAATGGGCAACCAGCGGTGGCTCCAACCACAAAACCGAATCTGGAAGTCTAAGTCATTGTTTTATCATTCGCTCGTTCCGATAAAAATTCTGGTGAGACTATAAACAGTATAATACTACTGGAGGGTTATGAGGACTAGTTTCTCCATGGCGGCCTCCAAGGCCTTTATCTCGGCTTCGATTATTTCCGGAGTTCTCTCAGCATCCGGCGCTGGCGGTGGTGCTTTATAGGGTCTCGAGAAAGCCACAAAATTCAATTCTTTTGGTAGTTGGACTGAAAATTATGAATAAATACTTTTGAAGCGCATGTACTTGGGCATGCTTGATTCAGCTGTCTAAGATAACCTACGAGTGGTTAGAAAAATATCGCGTCTCATATCCTTGGGCTGTGGTGGTTGGTAAATTAAATCAATGTGGAAGACACCTCCTAAGATGGCATATTTTCGCAGATTTATCTCCGTTTTTTCACATCTTGTAAATAATAATTTTCGCATTTCTTTTCTGTTTTCATCTAGATACAAAATAAATAGTCAACATTTTTACCAATTTTTACCAAATACATTTTCTATGTCTTCTCGAGTAAATAAATCATAGATATATGAATTGTTCAGCTGTTTTTGGAATGGTGAAATTCAATTATCCGTAAATTTCGATTCTAAGTGAGGTCCCGATCAAGTTTTGGCGTAATAAATTGGTTTATCTCCTATATCTCATTCCATAAGCATCCACAAGAATAAATGTGTTCCTCAAAAGAGATACCTTCTTTTTGCAATACAATCTCGTCAGGAGTTGGTAAGTAGGGCAGTGGTTCCGGCTCCCCTTCTGGTTCACTTTTTTTACTCCTGCCAACCGCTGCTGCCTGTTTTTTCCCCCCTTTCCCCTTTTTCTCCTTCACAAATTGGGGGGGATTCAATAAACGCTCTACTATAGCTTTCTTCTCCTCCAGTCTCAATTTCCTACCCTCTACTTGTTCCTCACAAATTTTCATCTTTGTTTCGTACTCATTTGATGTGAATGTCAGAAGATCTAAGAAGGGAAAAGACCAGTGAATTAATCATTTATAATTATCATTGTCGGTCTCCATCTAAAAACCAGTTAGTCTCATGCGTCACAAAAAAGTAACTGTTGAGGAAGAAGACGAAACAAGATAAACATCTTGTTTATTAATTTTCCCTGAGTACCTTCATTTGTGTGATACTCTCTGGGCATTTCTGGTATGGAAAAAGAAGGACTGAGATCAGAGTAATGATCGTACTGGACCCAGAGACCTCTCATCGCCATCGCATAACAATCCATGTCGGCTGGCATTTTCACGGTTAGATTCAATTCTTTGAAAATGATTTCGATCGATTTTCTGAAAGCCAAGCGGAAATCCATGATATCCCTTTATATCAATCAGTAGCGGCGACAGTAGCCACGCGGGCGGTGTGTGACTCCGGCGATCACCCAAGCTAAGCAACGCTCAGTTGGGTTAGTACTTGGATGGGTGCCCGCTTAGTCACACCCATCGGCGTGTAGACTGCCGCCGTCGGGCACGGGTGCGGAGAGCTGGTGTGTTCACCGAGTTAGTGTGACTGATGAACACAGCAGAATCCCCGCAGTACCGGCCGGCTGCGCTACTGAGGTTTTACATGGTTTCCCTCAGTACACGCCAAATGGGCGCAGTACAGAAAGTCGGCCCATGCTACCGCAAAAATAATGAGAAGATAGTAGGAGAGGCTAATGAGAGGATAGTAGGAGAGGCTAAAGGCTAAGACGAAGGGGCGCCTATCAAACCATGGTAACAATGGTAATAGGAAAAGGAAAAAATGTAAAAATAAAAAAAAAAAATATATATATATATATCAATCAGTATGTCTTCAGAAAAATGAAGGATTTTTTTTTCAAATCGACAAATGGTGAAAACAATGTCAGTGTAAGCGAAAAAGTCAAATGGTTATGAAAAAGTTTCATAATCGTCAATTACCTGTCTCTCTCAGCGACCTGCTTAATACTGATTGGTAGTTGAATAAGTGCCCAGACACAGCAAATTAATTCATTGGATTGTTTAACATATCGTGCATTCTTCAAATCCTCCCTTATCATATCCCACTCGATGTGCCTGAGTAATCGATAACTCGCGAGATCCATCCAGCACTTGAGTCCCTCCCGAAAAGTACTTCTAATCCCTCTGCACTCGTCAATGTATTCTTCCGAGACCATAATGGAAAAATCGATAATATTATCCAACTTAGCGAGCAGCTGTGAAATGACAAATTGAAATTACATGATGAAAGAGCCATTTGAAAAAACTCACATAAGTTACAACTTGGCACTTGGTTGTAATGTTCAACATCGATGCCTCATCGTATTCCTCATTCCATAGAAATAAAAAAGTATTCAACTGAGAGAGTATAGTAGGATCTGGAAGCCCGTCACAAGTCATGTACCGTAACCACTAGAATTACACAACATTTAATACAAAATGTCGATTCGATTTTCTTTTGCACAAAAATCTCTTTACTTCTTCTTCCTCTGTTGACTTTACAAGATAGTCCATGTAAGTTTTTTCATTATTATAGATAACGCGAGAAGTTTCTTCAAGGTGGGCTTTTCGCTTTCCTCCTTGCTCTATTTCCACCTGCAGATGCCTCTCTGAATTGCACTTTTCCAGACGGATTTCTTCTTGCATGTCCTTTATCATGACATTTCTGAAGGCATGAAATATGGCATGAGCCTACTTTATTTCCTGTATAATTTCACCAATGATGAATTTGCATGAGGTTTACTTATAGAGATTGAAGTGTTTATAAAGATTTTCCTCTTTAGAATTTGGCAATTGAATGGTGTGGGAAATCAAATCGATTGAAAATTTCATATGATATTAAAATGAAATGTTTAAAATAATGAATTATGGTACAAGGGAATCAAGACGACAGTATCAATTTAATATATAAACCAATGAGATTTAAATATGCAGGTTGGTGGAGAAGAACAAATATTATAAAGGATTTGGTAAAAATATGTCGTGGTGATTGAAAATTAGTGAGTAATGTGAATTTACTCAAAGAATTATACCGTTCTTCAATTCTCTGCACTTTTTCCTTAACAGTTTCTGCGTAACTTCGAAAAAAAGTGATTGCATCGAGGGAATCAGCATACATGATTGCAATGTATTATGTAATCCAAAGTGTTGATATAAAGGGATTATGACTTATGGATAAAAACGAGTAATCACTCGGAAGCACAAGTTTAGATCGGTAGAATGTTTGAAAATTGACTGGAGCGTTTCAAATTTAACACCCCATCGGGACGAGCTGTTCCGCTATAGTAGTTTCACACAGGGTGGGGAATGAATTGCGGAAATAGAATAGAAATCGAGGATGAGGTAGCATGCGAAGTAAACACGAACGAACTCAATTGCTAAAGTTTTCGACAGGTTCCTCCTAATTTCGAAAGATATCTCTTGGAGTTAGGCAATCTGGATAACATTTTTCAAATTTCTCACCTCTGTTTCTCTGTTTCAGCAGCAATCGCTGCTGCCGAGCGAGTTTTTTCTTTTTCGGGCTCCTTCATCTTATTTTTTTTCTTCTTTTTAGATTTCTTTGTTGCTAGTATCGGCTGTGAAAATTAATGAAAGCCATCAGTCTATATGAAGAATGAAGTAAAATTTGTCAAGATGTCACCTGTAACTCGCGCCACTCTTGAATCTACAACGAAATTATTGACTCTTATTTGAAAAAAATATATTTATATTAATTTTCTTTGCCTTAATATGGGAAAATATACAAGTTTGGAAAACCGGGACACCGTCTTCGGCTTCTTGGGGAACTTGGTGGTAACTACATCTGGTTCATATTCATCGTACAGTACTTCTGAGATAACCGATATTTCGTCAAATTCAATCCACTCATCGCTGCCTTCGGCATGCTCCATTTTCTCTCCTCAATTATAATTTGCGCCAAGAACTTTTAGCAAATTCTCCACCTTAGAATATGAAGTTGAAATGGGAAGATTTATTCATTGGAGTGGACTAATTCAATATCAATCAACATCATTAAAAATAGTTATTTTGTTTACTGTGTATATACGTCAATGTGTAAATTCACACTTATATAATCAATCAAAACCTCAATTGGGTAAATCATTGCTGGGAGAAAATGCTATTATAAAATCTACAATATCTGCGTATTTTAATTAATCGGCATGTTGAGTTTTACATGATTGCTTAATCTCAACGAATCGTTATTCTTATTACATTTTTGGCATCTTGAATAATCACAAGGCTATTGACGCCTGGGAGAAACCCCGGTTTTCTCATAAAATTATCAACACAATAATTAGTTTTGTATCAAATAATCTCGCCAATCTTTTACCTAGCATTTAACAAGTGCAAATGTGCGTCAAACACAACTAATTATAAAAATGTTTTTTTAATGTATATACGGTATAAAGGCACTCAGGCATGTCAGTCTACAAAATGTGATAAAAATCAATGAATGAGATTCAATGAAACATCGCAATTGATTTTCTAATTACTACTGGAAGAAATAGTACCACAGAGTCGTGTAGATATCCGGTTCTTCAAGAAGCTCAAAACGTTGATGCACGTCGCCATATTGTAAACTCTGGAACAAAAGAATATGTTGATTTATCGAACAAGTTACTATGCGTTAATCTCGATTTTAAATCACTTGTTTTTTTTTTAAACCAATAGAAACAATATGGTTTCGAAGAGAAAGGCTGAATTAGATTTATTTTAGGATACAAGTTTTGAATTTTTAATTTTAAATGATAACTCTCCATTGAAATTTTCTGATAACTTTCGCCGGAAACATTAACAGTGATGGTAGATATTTTCCAAATGTTTATTCATGAATATTCGTGCACTTTGGCCCACAGCAATGCATTTAAATGAGCAGAGAAGTCTCGCATCACTTCCTGCTCATTCACTCACCAATAATGTATGATTCATTTGGCTCATTCGACGTTTAGGTTTTGGATGTTGAAGGTTTGATGGGTTTGATTTCTGTGCATAACTGATAACGATATATCGATTGTAAGTTCTTCCAGCATATGATATAACGAGTGAATAGCTTGAAAAGCGTCTTTGTCAAGTTGAAAAATATTTGAATAATAATTAATATTAATCGATTATTTCTCAATTAGATGAACAAGGTCGATCCCTTATATTCGATTCCCGCATTCTATGCGGGAAAAAGTGTTTTCATAACTGGGGCGAGTGGATTTATGGGGAAAATTCTGATGGAGAAGTTGCTGCGTTCGTGTCCAGATATAAGAGAAATTTTTATTCTCGTGAGAGGCAAAAGGGGAGCTGGAGTGGATGACAGACTTCGAAAGATGTTGGCACTTCCGGTAAGTCTTAACCATTTAAGATGAGATTAATTTAAAAAATGTAATGGATCTCTTGTATGCGTCTCAAGGTGTTTGATAGATTGCGCAAGGAATGCCCATCGGCTTTTGACAAAGTAATTCCAATCGCTGGGAATACTGCAGAGGAGGGTCTGGCAATACCGGATGTCGAGAGGAGGGTTCTTATCGAACGAGTTTCAGTAATTTTTCACGTGGCCGCTAGTGTCAGATTTGACGATAGTTTAAAAGATGCAATTTTTCTTAACACTAGGTCTACCAGGGACATATGTATCATTGCCGCTCAAATGAAAAATCTCAAGGTAAATTTCTCAAGTGATTTCCCAATTAGGATATAAATATAATCTTTGCAATTATAATGGCTAACTCTTAGGTCTTTGTCCATGTGAGTACGACTTATTGTCAAGCTGATAAGCCAGACGTTGAGGAGAGAGTTTATTCCTTTGATGTAGATTGGAAGAAGGCGATAACAATTGCTGAGAAGGTGGACGCTGAACTTCTCAAACCGCTCACGGCCAAGTACTATATTATTAAATCTATATCGTTGAAATTAATTTGATCAACTCATTGTTTTTAGGTACCTAGACAATTTTCCAAACACCTACACTTTTACAAAACGGCTCGCAGAACAAATAGTCTCCGACTACTCCCACGTCATTCCTTGTGTCATCTTCAGGCCATCAATCGTGATATCATCGTTGAGCGAGCCCATAGCCGGATGGATCGACAACTTTAATGGTCCAGTGGGGATGATGATCGGGGGTGGCAAGGGTATTCTCAGAATTCTCTTCGGGGACGAACGTCTTAATGCTGATTTCATTCCTGTGGACATTGCCATCAAGGCTATGCTAACTGCCAGTTGGAAGCGTGGACTCATACCGTATGAATATTTTTTTTTTTTAGCAAAAAAAATTCGATGCAGATTTATTGAAATTTTATTAAAGTGAAAATGGCGAGAAAATAATGGAAGTAATTTAACCAACACTAAAACTTTTAGTTTGACTATTCTCATTATTCACTAACCAAATTCATCTGAATTAGGAAACTATTATTTTTCAGGATAACTGCGGATAAATCTGTGCACGTGTACAATTGTGCGTCAGCTGACGTCAAAAGTGTTTCCTTCGAGGAACTCAATAACATGGGAATGCGTGTAATTCATGAGTATCCGCTGGAGGGTAATATCTGGCGTCCAGGAGCATTTCACACAAAATCCAAAACAGTGTACTACATATTAGTTCTCCTACTTCATCTTCTGCCTGGGATGGTCGTAGATGCAATTATCAAGTCTACTGGACGCAAGCCGATGTATAGTTGATTTGTCTTTTTTTTTTTTCACAAACCCATATAGCAAAATGTGTCGTTAACCACGTAAAACATCTAATTGACAAGCGACTGCCGATAATTTGGCGGATTGTTGAGCCCGGGATGATGAACACCAATTCATAATTTTTGTCAAATAATTTGTTTAGGCTGGTGAACCTCCATAGAAAAATCTACAGTGCAAATAGCGCTCTTGCATACTTCCTCATGAATCAATGGAACTTCCAGAATGCGAAAATGAGGAGCTTATTGAGCGACGTACCACCAGCTGATGTTGATGATTTCGGTTACGAATATGCTAGTTTTGATGTAAATCTCTACTTCAAGTAAGTTGTTATGCCCCAGATTTTGGTGAATTAGTTTATTGTTAAATATTTGAACATCTAGCATTGTTAACGTGACACTTGTCAGCATAACTATGCTGGTCAAGTAATGATATACAAACAATTATGTATTTAAGAGGCTGTTTGGGTATGCAAAAGGCAGATCCAAATCGGGCTCCGACATGTATTAGTTGTAATCTTTGCAATCAGTCAGATGACATAATTAAAGTAATAAACTCGTATAATTAAATACCTATAAATTATTGGTGGGAGTTGTTCCTTCGAGCCTAGAGCCTACAATAAATATAAGTACCCCTCACGCTGGGTGCAACAAAGTCAATACTCAATTATTTCAAGACAATAATCATTTGACGATTATCTTTCAATTTTCTTTGCAGACAGTGTCTGATTGCCGCCAAACAATATCTGCTAAAAGAAGACCTGGCTAATCTACCCGCGGCGAGACTCCACTATGAAAGGTGAGTAAAAAATTTGCGAAAAATCTGTCACCTCTCTGAATCAATATTAAAAAAAGAAGGATGGATTAAGGAGATAACGTCTGACAATACAATCACTTTGGAATGCACAAAAGATCCTAGTGCTTCACGAGAAAAGTCTCATTCCTTAATACATCTCAAGTGAATTCAAATATTGACAAATTTAATACTGAATCACGTCTACAACGTCATTTTGGTCGGATTGCGACCTTCAAAGAGATCAACATCAATCATCCAAGTGATTGTCAAAAATGCATTGCGTTATCACAATGCTCGATTTTTTCTACAGACCAGTTCCAACGCAATAATCCAATGCAATATTACGTATTGCCTTCATAACATATTTTCACGTGTAGTAAAATAATTGAGCGATAAAATGATAGAGAGAAAAATTTCAACCATCAACTTTAAATTTACCGCACAATGATAGGTGGACATTTCGCAAGAAGCGCACGCCGAACACGTTCATTGTGATAAAAATTTAAATGATAGTTGAGAAAAAAAGGAGACGTATTTAGTAAGTGAACGGTCGATGTACTTGTTTTTTTTTTTCCTATGAAAAAATGCACACTGCTGGTGTAATGAACTCCGTTTCACTGCAGGTTGACACTATACAGAATATGTCCTAGGTGAAAAGCTAGGATGGCTTTGGGTGGTGTTTGGTCGATGCCTGTAGTGTCGTTAACTGAGAAAACTGGGTCAAATGCTATTGCATGAGGTCATTGCACGTGATTCTTTAGGCGAATTCATCAATGAAGAGGGCATAGTACTATCTACTGTACAACCGAATTAAATCATCTACACATAACATACAGGAAATAATGGCCGGATGCAATACATATCCATTACGATATGAGAAGACTAGTGAGATCTAGTTTCACAGCGATCAGTAATGTGGTGAATCACCAGGTGACCTTCAATCAGGGGGAATTCCAATTGTCTTTGGTTTTTTCATATATTCCCATAGTTTTACTCTGATAAACTACATATCCATTTTGGGAATTGATATTCAAATAATGTAGATACTGAGTATTATCCGGGGAAATCCTTTTCTCTCTCAGACGCGTCGTTCTTGACTTTGAAAAATGCTCAACAGGTACTATTTATAGGCTTCATTGTAAAAAAGTATCGTGATTTGCGTCATACTTTAACATATTCACAGGCGTGTGTAATATTTTTTCTTCTCTTAATAGAGATAAAAAATTTCTGATTTGTACGAGTTTACAAGCAATTCATGAAATATTCGAAGAGATCGACGACCACTTTTCGAGTGATCCTTGAAGTGATCCAATCGTTTTTTATAGCTAGCAGATGATATCCCTTCCAGGAACCGGTTGGAAATTAGTAGGACCTTCATCGCCACTCATCCGCCAATGCGGGGCGAATTTGTTCATACTTTTAAAATAGGTAGCTTACCATTACATGACATTGCATTTGTGGCTCTAATAATAATAATAATAATAAGCTACATATTTTTTTAAAAGGGGAAAAAATTTCTTTTTTCCTCTTTTTTTTTTTCATTACTTTTTAATGTCCATTCAAGTGCTTTACGCGGCAAAAATTTGATCTCAAAAACAAAAAAAGATGTTCGATAGATGGTCCATCCGGGCCTTAAAGGGGTTTTACTACTTTTAGGCCAACGAGTATATTCACATCTTTGTTCTTTATGGATCATGGATTTCTTGTTGACGCGTCTTTCGGTGGAGATAGAACTCTGGAAAATTTATCGTCAATCATGTTAACGCATATAAATTGCGCAATTAGATTCTCACGTTGGTGGTATCTCAAGCATCATTATACATTGATGAATAGCCTTGAAGTATAACTGACAGACGATACTCCAATCACTTGAACAACGCCATGATGCACGATGAGTATTTGTTGTTGCAATTGAGAAAAGTTATTTTATTGTGAGCAGATAGAAAAGGATCAAATGTCGAGGTGAAAAGTTGTTTTGGAATGAGATAAGACAACAACTTTTTCCTGGGTATGTATTTCTGAACTCGAGGGATAGGTGTTGTCATTGCTTTTATGCAACGTACATCATTCGTGTTGTTCTGAGAAATTAGTTTCAAGATCGAAACCTCTATTCCAATCAATTCCTCACGTGTGGAAAATGAAAATGTGTTTTTTTTTTTTTCGAACTGCATTTCAATTCGAGTTCCTTCTGAGTAGTAATGAGGAAACATTATGAAAGCTTCAAGTTGATGGTGATTTTTTCATTATTCATTTAGGGATTTAGGCTTTTTTTTAAATTTAGGATATTGCAAAATTTTATTTACTCTGGTGGCATTCTCCATAAATTATTTCTTATCTAAATATTATCTGATATTCGCATTAAAATGTCTATTAATAATACTTACATAATATTATGAAATATCTAATGTAATTAATGAAGAGAGACCAATGAGTACACTAAATGGATTTGTTGTGCGTGATAAATTATTTGTAGGATGGTATGGATCGACAAAATCTTCAAGACGTTCTTTGCAGCCTTCATCATTTGGATGAGTTTCCACTCTGGATTAATCAATTGGACGCTATCAACTTTAGATTCTTTTGGCACAATACTCACTAGTACATAGATACAATCACGGTCTAAGCATTGGAAAAACTTGAAATATCCATTGCATCAGGGCCACCTCTCTTTCATCAAGCAATTACCCATAAATTTACTGTTTTATGGACAAATGCATCGTGAAAATATAAAATATCAGCCGGTGGAGTTGGCATAGGTCGGGTAAATGAGCGTCAATTGTATTCCTCATGCAGCCACTTGTACTTTATGAAAAAAATGTGAAGGATATGTAAATGAACTCCATAACTCAATGTCCGTTAAGTGCATAAAAAATGGCTATTGGAATGCTTTGTTGTGAAATAAACATGCATTTAACGTTATCTGCAAAAAACGACTATCTAAATTCAAAAAGTGGTAAAAGCACTGACGCACTACACATTCACTAAGAATGTTAGCTTGCGCGGATACAAATTTACGCCCGTAAATTATGCCATCTAACATATTTCTGCAAAAATTCTAGACGAATGCTATATTTAAGGAATATCCTGTTAATAAATGTACCTCTTGTATATCACATTGCTTTAAAAATCATTCTCCAAATCAACGTATAATACCAATGAAAAAAAAATTGTTTCTATATTTGAATCTTGTAATTGGCTAAATGCTGCTACATAAATAATAAGTAAATAAATAATTAGTTGAATGTAAAAGTAAGTAGTGTTTCATTCTGGTCCCACGCAAAGGTCTACCTCCTAATTTTCAGGATAGATTTTTTCCCGGCTGTGGTTTTGTAATGATCGCGATCTGGGATTTCCTGGGACTAGATGCAATGATAATGACGTCAATGAGGTAAACCATTCTTACTGGTGCAATTATTGGATAAAATTATGTTGCGAGATCAATTATCATGTGAATAATTAAATGATAGAACGGTGCAACTGAGGGATATCGTCATTTTCCATGTCAAGATGACGTCCGCCCGAGATTCCATGGATAAGTTATGGTAAAAGATTCGAATTACGTTGAAAATTTACAACTTTCATAGTGATTTTCACGGAATTTCTTTATTGGGATACTTAATCAATTAGGAATATCTGCTTGACAGTTCAATAAAAATATTGAATTGACTGAAATTTATCTCCTTAGGGTGATTCTTCCTCTATCTAAAATTGACAAATTACTCATCATGTAGCGGATGCATCAATGATTTTCTGCCGGCTTCTTGTACACATATCAATGATGAATCAATAGCACTATCCAACTAACCATCCAGTGGTAGTTTTGGTTTCTCAGCCTCATCATACTAATTGCCATGTTTCACTGCAATTATTGTATACAAATACATGAAGTTTGCTCGGCTAGTCACGTGTGTTAGAATGGTGGGCTATCCTATATCGATAAAGAAATGAGTCAAAGCATTGAGAACATTGTGAAGAACATCCTAACAATGTGAGGATTACCGGAAAACCACAACTACCGGCTCTCTCCAACCTCCGTTTCCTTTATTTTTAATATCACTAAGAGGTGAAATTGAAAGTGTTGGATTTTATAATGGACGCGCACAGCTCAGAAAAAAACAGAACAATGAACAAGAAATAAGCTTAAAGTTTAAATTTAAAAAAATGAATATCTGTTGAATATGTGAGTATAGAGTATATTGCGATAAGATGAGGTCATGGTGGTGGATTACCAAGTGTGGCTCCATCGGCTTCATCATATTAATTGGCGCGTGCGCAGTGAGTATACCGGGAATAAAGCGCGTTTCCCCCACGCTTGTTGAATTAACACTTGAACTTTTTTTCGTTGAGCCAGGCAGAATCAAAGAGACCCGGTGAACGCAACATAGCGAGCCTCTTGGAACTTGTCTTTTATTTTCCCACCAACTGCACAACCAACATCGCTATATACCCAGTACAGTGAAACAATCAAAACTTTCATGAAGTTCTTAAACTCTTGTCAACCGACAAGAGTAAAAACCCATTGATAACGACTATTTGTGATTTTTTTTTTATAATATAATAAACATTATCGTTGTGTTAATAGTGCTAATTATAGACTTTAACTTCAACTAGTGCATGAAAAGTATTTGTCATTTTTTTAATCAATTATCTCAACCAATCCAAACATATGCCTCAGCCTATGAGCCATAAACACCTGCTGGTGTAATTCCAAGTATCTTAATGCATTAATCAAGCTGATATCATCGATAGCGAATGGCTGATTCGACAATTCACGGCCAAATCTAAAATCAACATTCATTCCAACGAGTTTTCTTCTTTATAAGTAAGTGCAATAGACTCAAACCATCCACATTTATCTGATTAATTATTTTACATATCTGTCACCTTATCGCATGTCAATATTTTTTTGCCGCTGTGGGCATAAAATGTGTTTTTTTTTGTTGAAAAAAAAAAAAACCAATAATTTCAAAGTATCCAGTAATTTAATCACTCACACTGACTGATATTAAGCATCAGAAATGGCAATAATTAACGGTTAATGATTTTCAATTCAGTATTTTCGTAGAAATAGATATGCGAAGAAAATTACCACAAAATACATAATGTAGCTTATGCACAAAGATATTGTGAAAAGAATTATTGACAAGTAACTTGACTGAGCATTATCTGCATGAATGGGTGAAAATATAATGCACCCGGAAAAAAAGTAATAATAGATAAAAAGCAGGGATACCAAATGGCACTGATGAAAATATTTTACACGCATTCGAGTAAGCATTCATCATTCATTGTCATTGATGATTATTATTTTCATAATTAAATTGCCTTATACAATTGCTCGCGAATGTGTTATTTGGTCTCTATTTCTATTTTTTTTTTTGTTTCTGCATTGAACAGATTAAGTGTCGATTCATGGAAAATTAATTCAACAAATAAATTTATAATTTCATTTCAACTGCACGCATCGATCCATCCATTAATTATTGCAACGCTCCATACAATCATCGAGTAATTAATATTGGCCTTATTCTTGAAAATTGAATGAGCCTGTTGAAATGAGTGCTACTTCATATTTATGTAAGAGGCTTGATTGGCCGATCTTCACATTCATCAGCACTAATACCAACTACTAACGTATCAGTCCACGGATGGCGGTTTCTAATCGCTGAGATCATTAAGAAAACTGAATCGTTCGAGAGACCGATATTACATAGAAACTGGTTACATCAAATCAAGCTTATATCCTTTAATTTTTCTATTCTTCTTTTTGTTTTTTTATCGCAGATAGATAATAGACGGCAGAGAGGGGAAATCTTTCATTCCACCGAAAAAATTTCGCCGTTAATGAGCTGAATTATCATCGTGATAGGTATATTACGCTCGATATTTTATCTAAACAGCCAGACCCAATGATGTGAATACTAACTTGATATTTCTCCAATTTAGGAATGGCGTCTCACGTAGAAAATGTTTCATTCAAACTTTATTACCCACTGAGCCCAACGTCTAGTATTTGTTCAGAAAGATCTACTCCGTCCCCCGATTCGGGATTAGAATGTCATCAGAGTCAGGCGAGTGATTCCAATTTTCTCCAGCTAAGATCAGAGCATCACGAGGCTAGACGAAAGAACTCAACATCATCCGATGCTTCATATGTATCTACAAATTTAAGTCACGATGGAGGTTTTTCAGACACCCCAGACGAAATGACAACACCATCTAATATCGATGACGATATTCTCGAAAAATTTGATGGCTTGGAATGTTCATCAAAAAATGCAAATTTGGACAATCCAGAAATCACACTCGACATTGTTGCGTGTCAAGATGGCTTGCAAGAGGCGAATGATGATGATGATGATGATGATGATAATAATAATGATCTACAGGAGCGAGGACCTGAGCAAAAATCAAAGTACTGTCGTAGGAAACCGTATGAAAGCTGCGAGGTTTGGCTCCAATCAATGGAAAATCAAGCCTCTTCACGTGAACTTGATTCGTCAGCCCAACAGATTTTGAGTGATCCACAGTTGAGGGACAAGATAACACCCTGTCTTGACCAGTTGACTCATGACAATCGAAGACAAAGGAGATGCGAAAATATTGAGTGGATTGATACACCTGTGAGAAGCGCCCATCCAGCCCCCACCAATCATTCGGACGAGGTGAGTAATTATTTTTTAAGAACGATTCTTAGCCATCCACATAATCCATAATCTTGATAACTTAATCGATATAATCTTGCAGAGGTCAATAGCACTTATGCCTTCCATTATTCTTCACCAGGATTGTCTTCCCAATGAAGAACAACTAATGTTTATCGATCTCCAAAAATTTCAAGCAGCACAATCAGACACGAATAATCAGCAATCATCACCCGCTGCAAGTTTGGACAATTGGTCGGATTCATCACGAAGCAGCTACAACGTTCTATCTTCGAGATCTCATAGCCGTGCTTCGAGTCGTGCCCAATCGCCTGGATCTTCGGTCAATATCGGATCACCTTTGATCTCGATTGGTAGTCCGCCCCAACACAGACTCACACCTTTTAGACAACCACGACTTCAGTCCTCGTCATCATCTTCCAGTTACTCCTTCGGGGATACCCCCAGTCCATTGAATTACTTTCAGTCGATTGATCAGAGGACTGAGGAGCAACTTGGCATGCACCTTGGAAATATCAGAACCTGCGGAAACTGTGACTCATCAAGCACAATTGTCAACAGTGACAACATCGATGATTTTAACTGCAGAATTCAGTTAATGAACGAAGTCATCAGGGACAATCGCGAGCAAGATGAAATGCAAGTTGTTCCCAAATACCAGAATGAGTCAATTACTTGCCGACTTACTAACAAGAGTTTCGAGAAGAATACTTATGATTTTTCAAACCAAATGTGTCCCAATAGTGATTATGATCTTGGAAATACTGGAATTCTCATTAAATCAGCACAGAATAATCTCATTTATACTGATTATACATATACCATCAATCAGAGTGTCGGGAGTAATTTGCAAGTGGGTGAAAGTGATGAACAGACATTTGCCACCCCAGATCCCGTTGTTAATTTTGGGGCTGAACTTGAAGATATGGCTGTAACAAGTTACAATTCACAAAATAGTGGGGATTCACTGATGTACCTGAACCAGAGTCCAGAGCTCAATTGCTTATCGGATTTAGAGCAAAATTACAATATTCAGCCCGGAGATGTCGGACACACACAGCAGCAATTCGCAGATTCTGAACAGCCTTCAACTTCTACATTTGACTTTCCAATACCGAAACCAGTTTCGCAATATAAATCAACCAATTCTCGAAGGTCAGTAAAATAAATTAATATGGCAAATCAATGAGCAGGTTTTCAAGACAATATATATGCGATATAACAACCGGTGTCCTCTTTCTAGAAATTCATTTAGGAAAACTTCACCATGGACATTGCTCAACCTTCCCGCGACATCATCAAGCGAAACATTAAAAGCCCAAGTGGATCCTGAAGAAGTGGAATACGCCATGAAGTATCTTTTGAAGAAATCGCCGGAGCAATTAATGATGCCAGATGAGAATGGCGAGGAGGACCAGGATACGTAAGTATAGCAACTTGTGAAAGTTCAAATTTTCAATATGTTCTCAAACTATAGGGTAATTGTCACAGGGTGCTGATGCGTTTGGTAAGCAGTCCTGCATCGTTCGAACTAGAGAAAGGGTGTCTGGCACCGATGGTAGAGCGCCTTGGACAAATTCCTAATGGTCTTTCCAAATTCAATAATCGAGGAGAAGATGCTTTATACATAGCTGCCATTAACTGTCCTCAGACACCCCATGTTGCCGGATATCTGGCGGCAGCTATGCTTCAAAAGGGAATTGATATTAGCCAGAGATTATATCAAACTCGGGTGAGCATAGATTACGATAGATCCGTATTCGTGGCTGTGTAGATCAAGTTAAATAAATCTATAATTATGATACAATGGTACAATGATTTCTTTTGTGAATATCAGTGAGTAAAATTTTCATCCGGCAATGAATCAATAAGATAATGTGAATTATAATGCAAATGCTTGATATGTGCAGGGTGACACACTGATTCACGCACTTGCCTCTCACGGCGAGACACACAAATCTGTACTAGCTGAATTGCTATCTTTGAAAACCACTCAAGGAAATTCTGTATTCGATTTATCGAAATGTAATTATGATGGAAGGACACCGTTGCACGTGGCAGTGGAATCTCACGATCCAACTGGCGCCCAAAACGATTCAACGTCCATCGTACAATTACTCCTTGAAAATGGATCAGATCCCAATGTCAGAGAAACAAAGCATGGCAACACCGCTCTTCACCTCGCCGTTTCTTTATCCAGTGATCCAAGTTTAATCCGTGTAAGCAAGAATTCGTGACAATATCATTATTATCCAATCAACGTACATTTATCATATAAATATATTTCACTTCAGTTGCTGTTAATGGGGCGAGGCTGCGAGACTGTCAATGTTTTCAATCGAAACAGAAATACTTCTTTGCATATGGTTGCGGCCATGTCTGACAGATTAAGTCGGCAAGTTCAGAAAGATATTTGCTTGGCATTGATCAACGCCGGAGGATTGACCAATATTTCCAATGGTCAGGGGAAAACCCCTTTAGCTCTCGTATCTTTTGAGCGAAAGGAATTCATCCGAAATATCTTTCAGGGGAGGGAACTAGATTTCTTATAATTCAAATAATGTCATTATATTTATGTCCTTACTCTCATCACTCTTAATATTTTTCATATTCTTCTGTTTAACACCAAAGAGACAAATATGTATATAGCAGTAGGCTTCAAATTTTTGTATATCGAGTAATACATATTATCGATTATAGATACCTTACAATATACCTGAAATATGCCTGAGTTGAGGATAACCAAAGACGTGCGGATTGAACTTCCGCGAGATTAAATATTTTAATTTCATCCATTAATAAATCATAATCAGGCGCTAAGATTTTTGAATCAATGGATGATTCCATGAAGACTGAAAATTTAAAGGATTGAAAGTTGAAACGGTGAATCTAGAGTATATAAATTAAGGGATATAATTATACGATAATGATTCTGCACTTGTGGGTGATGGTACAAATGTTTTGTAAGGCATTTATATATACTGGTCATACTAACCATAAATTTTAATCATTATAATTTTTTGTAAATTTTAAATCCATTAAAACGAGAGTATACTTGAAGAAATGCAATTTATTATTTCAATTAATTTTCCCCCAAGGGTATCGATTTGATACTTGAATTTATGATATACGTTGTGAAGAAATCCAACAAAGAAAAATGTTATCTTGTACGGAAATGAATTCCAACAAAGGTTTGGCTGTGGTCAGTTGTAGAGTTCCGCTCTTGGAGAAGCTTTCCGGCGCGGTACAATTCCAGCCTATTTCATCAATCTGCACGCCGAGCTAACGAGTGTAAACATCAGCGTTTCAACCCAATACAATTTCTAATCCCTCGTATACGTTCGTTTTAATACTACCAAATAAAAAATACCACCATACCCCGTCACTCACTATCAAGGGCGGCATCAAAGATACGTCAATCATAATTTAGTTTATCCGATAGATGTGCGAAGAAAAATAATTCTTTATTCCTGACTGAGTGAGAGTCAGTGGTGGACGCAAAACGAATAGTGACTCAGCGGGTTATTCTTAACAGGAAATTTCATTCAAAGTGCAAATTGTGGTGTGTGAGATAATCATCCATTTATTTTTGGTGAATATTTTAATCCACTATCATGTTAGGTTGTGTCAGTGATGTGCTATGCAACAGGCATTGTTTGTGGATAATTGTGATAATAAACGTACACCTCGTAATCGGAAAAAGTATAAGTGAATCTTGTTGGCATGAGAATGGCGAAGTTGTCCAGTGCAGATGTACAGGGAATGAGGTGAGCGAAAAATATAATTATTCATGATATTATACTGCCTCCCGTCTTTTTTAACTATATTACCGCGTTGGAAATTATCGAATAATCCCCTGATATTATTATTGATATTTCCGATTAATGTTCAATTTCCAGCAATTAACCCTGCCTGAAACCTTCAATTACAAATACCTGACAAAATTGGCGATCTCATCCTGCCTTTCAGTGAATTTGCAATTTGACAGTCTCCAGCACGCAGAGAACATTCGCGATCTAATAGTGGAGAATATCACCGGAAGTTTGTTACTCCACCCTATGCTGATATCGAGGTACATGAGGACTTTTGTGATAAGGAACGTCGGTCAAATACCAGAGATCACTCATGAAATGTTAACGAGTATCATGAGCATCGAGGAGTTTATAATTGAGGACACAAGGATTAGAATTTTCGACGAGACCTTCCAAGGCATCAACGTAACAAATTTAATTTTTAAAAATGTCACGGTAGATGCATCAATGGGAATTAATATCTTAGCCAATGCTAAATCATTGAAGATCATTGACACCGTAATACGAAATGTCACTGGTAACTTCAACATTGGGAGTTTTGAATCGATTGAACTTGTTAATTCCATGTTTGAGTTCCGGAAACCGGGGGAAATGTCGCTCCATGGATTCAAAGCAATAATTAATAATTGTACTTTTTACAATATAACAGTTAATGTTGTGACTCAGACGAAAATTGAGATGAAAAATAATTGCGCAGATGGAAAGAGTTTGCTGAGACTTGATTCTAAAGTTATTAAGAGTATTGGAAATAAATCTCCCAATGAGATAAATTTACCCAAAAACACTACAGCAGATATACAGACTCACAATAACACTGTATGCATCGCTGCCAATTGCAAATGTCCGAGACATTTTTATCGCAATTGTCAGACTATTATGAATATCAATATCTCCCTCGGTATTATTCTGATGTTTATCTCTTATCTCTTGTAAGACGATTGGATTATTTCTATAAAAAGTAGCCATACTTATTTGCGCGAATAAATTATCAACTTGCTTGTCAGTGAATTTTCTTTCGTTTCTGTGTAATTGATGTTTTTTTTTTTTTTCATGTATCTTCCAAATTTTTACCTATTGTAGGATTTCGAATATATCTACACCGTATTTTTTAAACACATAAACACAAAAAGGCAAAAAAATGGCAGAATTAAATTCGACTAATTTGAAAGACTCGACTGGTAAGCGGAAAAGAGGAAAAATGAACTTTGAAAAATAAGAACATACCTAGGTTGTGGTTTCATTCCAAAGTCCGGATGATTCCATATGAAGCTCTACGCCATTAACATGAAGGGCCAATTCTTGCCTCAAATCATTGATTTCTTGCATCATTACACTATTATTCTCCTCCAAACGATTTATCGTCTGTTGACAGAGACGAATCTTCTTCTCCTGTTCTGTTTGACGGCTCGTGGATGTGAATTTTTCTCTTGGTGCACATGTCCCTGAATTAATTGATTCTCATTACGATGAGCACATTTGATAATTTCTAGTTGGTAAGAACTACTCACCAACGGTCTTCTGTAATTGTTCACGAAGTTTATTTCCACTTAGCTGGATCCTACGTATTTCGTGGGCATGTTGATCCTCCCTTGATTGCATCTGCTTCTTCAACTTCAACGCCTGCATGCCCAATAATTGAATGATATTTTATGAAAGGTAACAGTACTGCAGTCAAATAATTACATACCTCTTCTCTTTCACGTTTCACTTCTCGGCTTAAATTATTGACTTTAACTTGTAACTGACGTTCTCTCTCCTGCATTTCGTTCAGAGCACTGTCTTTCTTCAGAATCACCTCCCTCAGTCTTTTTATTTGATTCTAATTGAAAAGATATTTTAGAGTTTCATCATCAGATATTCCATAATCGAATTGTCAAGTGGATCCGTTATTGAGTTATTGTGTGAAATTTTTTTGTTGAACGAAACAATGAAATACGAGAATTAGATGAAATTTCTGATTAGTATATTTTATATCTAGTGGTTAGAAAATTGGGCGCGAAATCTCAATTGGACAGTTTATTCTATCCTTATCGAATACCAATCCAGAAGGAATTAAGTTGGGAATAAATAGTTGGATATAGATTGACGTAAAAGGTGAACAGTATAATAAAATGTAATACTGGAATCTTACGGAGAGGCTACTGTTATCACTGGATATCCTACTTCTCTCTTCTTTCAGAGTTTCGTGTAGTCTCAGAAGGCCTCTGTGTTTGTGTATTAAATGCCATGTCGCATTGATTAGAATAACAAATGAATTTTTTAATCCTTCGAAGGATTTCAAGTCATCTGCATTTATGAACAAAGGAATGCCATCAAAAGCCTCTAGGTCCTGTCAAATAAAAACAGAATATGTTGATAATATAATTCCATAGTCCTCAATATTCGTATCAAATTGATTAAAATGTGTTGGGATATACCTCCGAAAGAGCACCAATAGCCTCGTAAAAATTGTCCACTGTACAAAATTCCATTAGATACTTATTCTGTTCAAGAGCGTTTCTAATTCTCCTCATAGCGGCCACACTGTCCCCATTAGCTGACATTATCAATGCTGGAAAATTGAAGTACAGGAATACACTACATGCTTCCACCGTGAACGAGATGCAGATTCATTGATATGGACAAGATAATTGTAACAATTGGTCCTTGTAATTACTATTTCCCTCTGTTATTTCAGAGATTATCGGAAAAAAACCTAGAATTCATTATTTTTGCCCTAGAAGGCATAAAAAACGACATAATCGTGATTTTTGAAAAAATTTTAAAAATTGCGATTATCTCGTTTAAAAAAATAAATCACTGATGTATTAATTAAAATAAAAAAAAACACTGACTTACGTGAGAGGAGACGAGGTATTGTTTTGGAATTCTGTGATGATAAATCCCCTGGAGAGGCACGACAAATAATAGATCTTATTATTTCCTTTGATCCCACAACGGTTTTACTTCTCCCAACTCTGACGAAAATAAGCACGTTCCGCATGAGGGCTTGTGGCGATGTGATTGCACGCCACAAGATGGCGCGCAGCGGCCCAAAATTTGAAAGCTTGACGATTCGTGCCCTTTAGTACAAGGGCACGAATTACTTTTCCTAAAAAAGTAACTTTTTTTCAATTTCACGAAATACATAGTTTCGATTACCCTGCAATCCTGATACTTTTTTTTTTTTTTTAATTTTGTCTTTTTACACTTCACAAAATATCACTTCGATTCTCCGGCTATCCTCATAAGATCCTACTGAAAATTGGGGAAAATAAGACAAAATTACAGCTAATTCGTAAAAAACATGGTGGTAACTCTTCAATTCAATTATGATTGATTTTCAGCGCTAAAACGCTAATTCTCCATGAACTTCCGCATCAATGGGAATAAAAGAATGTGCAAATGATTGTTCTTTTATTGCGCATATTTGAGAGGAGTCTGCCATGAAAATTGGCAATTTCCACTTGAGCAACTCAGTATATGCTCCTATTAATATTGCCACAAGAGTAATATAAAAAAAAAGTCTTCCATCTAGTCAACTCTAATCCTGAGTGTTTAGAGTAGAATGTTGCCAAAGCCAGAGATACTAATGACACTTTTGGCAGTGTTGGTGTGTCAAGAGCCCACCGGAGACGTGAAGAATTTTTCACTGGCACGATATACTAATCCCGTGTTCGTGATGTACGGAATCCACACGGATTACCCTAGGATAAATGCGTAAATACTCCGTGTAGACCGCACACGATAAACGGAAATACTTCTTCAAAAAATGAGTCGGCTCCTGTTCCCGAAACCCGCCTCGAAATCCAAGCTTTTCCGATGGATAACATTAACATTAGGGAGAGACTTCCAAGCCCATTCTCGCGTTTCTCTCCCTGCAATATAAAGCAACATGCCATGTAACCATCATCATACCGATAATATTATACTCAAATCGATTTGGCTTCAATCAAATGAGAGTTTTGTAATGGGATCAGATCTGAGGAGTAATTCTACTTTTTTTAAATATTTCTTTCTCTTTTGTTGGCCACCTTCAAGATTCAAGATTTAAAATGACGTAAAATAACGAATAACTCGTCAATAAAATAATATTAAGATTGATTTTTAGCGCTAAAGTGCTGATTCTCCATGAACTTAGTGAGTAAAGTTAAATGAAGAGGATACACTTAAAGTTGATGGGTTTTTGATGGAGCCGTCAATCTTCCAACCCCCAAGGCTGTACATGTGGTCTTTTGAAATAAGAAAAAATGTGAAAATTTTCACTCTTCTTTAGAATATTTTTGTTGAAGATGCTTAATGGCCCTGAAAGAGAGAAATTGACGTGCGACCATTAAAGAGAGGGCATTGTAAATGAGGCCTTCTAAACGTCAAATTTCTTTCCTCTGATAAGAGTAGCATTTCAAACGTCATATAATCCGACTGTGTGAAGGCTATGACACTCTATTCAAATGGAGAATTGGAGTTTAGTTGTGATATTGAAAGGAGTTCTACTCCTTATAATCGCTTGTTATTTTCACCTATTCACCGGTATTTTTATATTTAGAATATCGTATTTATAATAGAATATTGTTGTAACAGGGTAAGAGGATATCTAACAGATTGTTGAAGTGATTGGCCATCGGCACTTGCTGTTTGAAATTCAACCATGTTGGCTGGAGTATGTTATGGAGGTAATTCCGAGGTATTGGCCAACACTAGACACGAGCCTTCAATCGACTCTCCTCATCGTTGATTGCCCTATGCAACGAAAATCCCATTATGCCACCCCATTGAGGCGTTGTTAGTTGACGTTGCAGTGACCTTAAATCCCAATATGTGTCCCGTTGCATTTCCATTTAATCGATTTTCAAGTCCTCATCTCCACTCTCCATTGAGTTTTTTTCATTTCCCTCTCACTCGCCTTTGTCACTTTGAAGCCGGTGGATCCATTGAAATGAAACTGGGTGTCGGATTGGAGGAAGGAGGATAAAGAGAGCAGTTCGCTATGGCACTCCCTTCTTTTCGCCATCTTTTATCGCGAATGAATGGAAAAGCCTTCAAAGTCAATAAAAATCCATTCGGCAAATTGGATGCGGAAGAATTGAGATGAAAAAAGAATCGTTTGTCTTTGCTTCATCTTATAGATATAGAGTTAGCATCAGTTGAAATCAATTCCACCAAATGTCTTTTTCTATTCTCACCGTCAATCGATGATGCTAATGATCCATTTACCTGAAGAACCCCTGGATTGGGATGATTGCAATGAGTTCCAAAGGGTCAGCTACAACTCATACCACCCGTAGTGAATTCTCACTCCAGATGTTATTCATGTGTCTGTACAGGGCACAGTGTGCACATCGTGTGCAGCCCCTTCACTGAGGAACATATACAACATCAAACCCGGGCTAATGCAGTATTACATCTTCTCCACTTATATTTATACAGTATGGAAATGACGTTTACTAGCAGTATCACGTTTATCCCACTGGTCACCTAGTGAATTTAAGTACCACCGTATAACACTCCTTGGTCTCTTTCATCTCAACGCTATTCTTGATGCCTTTTACATCTTAGTTTAAATCACCTTTTCCATTTCTAGAGAGATTTCTAGAATTTCTTAATGAGTTTAACCCCTACATTCTGGGCTCAGCGCTTAAAGCTCAACGCGACTTTAACTTTTATCCTCTTCCGTACACAAGCACCATCTCTTTTTCTAAATAGTACCCCACTTTCTATTTTTTCCCTCCGATTGAATCAATTTTCCAATAAAAGGTAGAACGGCTCATCTTTTTTTTACTACCACTGGACAAATGTTAAATTTCCAATTTGATGTATAAATGGGATGCGATTCATTGTGACGTTCAGCATGAAATTGTATTAATTCAATTAACAATTAATTTGGTACATTAAAAATTTATTTGTATGGCCTGTCGGAAAAATAGTATGTAGGGGAATTAAAAAAATTTTTGTCGCTAATATAATACAAAACGGTAGAGTAGTGAATGTGTTGAGTTTGAAACTATGTCTCGTTGTCGTATCCGACGCATGTGTACAACATGCATAGAGACAACAATAAATAGACCTAGGGATACATGTATTGCGGCACTCCCTTCTCGGAAATATGGCCAGAGGACTTGTGTAGGAAGAGAGGCATATAAAATTGAAAATTGTCGGGTATCCTCATATAAAAGATAAATCTCAATAATTTCAAATGAATGCACGTGCAGAGCACCCGCGGACAATCCCGTAAAAATCATATATAATATGATATTTTATATAACGAGAATTCCATTGAGCCCACACCATTGCCTGCGAAATAATGCAATATTTTAATGTATTTGAAATTAAAGAACTGAAATATATCTGTAAAAACTATTCGACCATATATTTACGTGTTTTTGATTTTCATTCGCAAGGCAGCTTCACTGAACATTGTTAAAAAATTTATTTCACAAAAAATTTTTAAAATTGTTTGATATCATTTACAAAAATGGATTATTGAATGTGCGGAATGAACTTTGAATTCCTTTGACGGCTGAACAGGTCGGACAAGTATATCACTGTACACTACGTTTTCTTTTCTAATAGTTAAATTTATATTGGTATCGTGTCTTCCGGGATGGGAAAAATCGAAAGAAAATAATAAATACAAGTCCCAGGGGTAGGTGAGGGCAAGTGGAGGCGTATCCCCTTGGGAAGATAAACTGAAAAATCTCTCATTTTCCCGATAATAGTCGACGAATCGTGACAAAATGATGCAGATGCTCCACTGCTCCACATCGGTGTGTTTTCAAAACGTGCCCAAATTGTGACCAACTGAAAATACTCGAGATTATCCCCTCCTCTTGAACCTCCTTATACGTCTGTCAATGTTTTCTTTTTGACGGTTTATTGGAGCGATTTCCTCTGTCACGTGTATACAAGGAAATACATCCGCCAAGGATGTATCCCTTTTATTTTACCAAAATCCTTGGGCTTGTGTTGGTAGTCAGCTGCTACGAATCCCGGCCTACACTAGTTTTTTTTTTTTTTTTTTATTCATATTTTTTCTACGTATTTGTAACACACGAACGGAAACAATTCGTCGATGGTTTACGTGGCGTCCATTACTCGAAGAACTACAAGGTGAATATTTGTCAGAGTGGTGTGGTGAAAAAGAAATGGGGATGGAAATAAGTACTCGAGGGTACTTTGCAGCACTCAACGCACTTGAATTATAAGGCCAAGTGCCGGAAGTGCCGCATCCGATACACCAAGATACACAGACACACCGTCAACATCTGTTTGGCCAATTATGCAAAGCTATAATGTACATTTTTCTCTCCCGGCAACTGACGGAAAGATATTCTTTTTTAGGGAGAAGAAGTACATGCATCGTATTTTATCAATATATTCCCCAAGAAGTATATAAAAAATAATAATCATCCTAGTAAATTTGAATGGGCGGAAAATAAGCTGTTTTCTTCAAGTTCGTATTGCATTTCGTGGGAAAAAAATGCTGTCACACGAGAAATTTTACTGCACAAGCCTGAACAATTTCTTCTACATGATACATCCGGTAATATAGTCCCCTAGAAATTATATGCTCCGAAATAATGTCAATACTTGTTATTTTTTTTTTGAGGGGCGTTGAGAGAAGAACTCAGAGAATTCAGTTAAACGATTTGAGCTGAAAGTAGCCATGACACGGTGAAGCTTCAACGGGCAAATGACGCGAAAGATTCGGCGAAAGTCGGGAAAAGGTGTCGACGTCAATTCTCCCTGAAGGGGTGTCGGACATTCGGCTGCGCTTCGCGGCCTGTCCAAACAGCCATAAAGGTAATTTGCCGTAGAACGTAAAACTACAAAGAGTATCATCCTCTGGTACCTAAGAGCGGAAAAGCGGAGAAACGGTGGGTTCTTTAGAGGAGCCTAAAACTGTCCTCCTTCACTTGAGGAACCCAACACTAAATCTTTAAAACTGTACAAATCAAGAAAATGGTTGGATTTCCACGTGGTTTACAATTATAATTAAATCCACAAACTCCCACATTTATTTATCAATTTATTGTGAAAATTCTAAATTTTAGCAATCTTCACATTAAATAGTACGGATTGCTTTCAAGAGGATTTATGTATTCTTGACAAGCGCTGTGGTATATCCCAATCGTTTCTCAATTAAAAAAATTAATTTTTCTCTCAGTCCAACATTATCCATAAATCAAATACCCACCATATTTATAGGTAACAGTAAGTAGCGACTGTGGCGACTAAATAGTCACTTTTTAGGTCTACTGAGTGTTGAAGCATTCATAAATGTCATTAATAAGTTTTTGTCAGTGAGAGATAATGCTCGACGAAGACTGGTGTTACATTAGCCTACTCCATTAATATTTCTAGACTTCTCTACTCCGACCATCAGTCCTCTGGTTAATTATTGTTTGACTGATGGTCCTGCCGCAATGCTGCCTCCACCGCATTTGGCATCCGACACTGCAGGAACCCATCACCTTCATATTCCAAATAGATATCAAGTATTCTTTATTGTCATTGAGAATAATATTTACATAAATCTTGAGCAAATTGATACGTCTATTATATCCAGTTCAGCATACACAAAAATAGAATCGTAGATTCTTCTAACTATTGAACTATATTGATTTACTTAAATTAATGACTAATTTATTCATCAGATTCTGTCTGCAGTGCATAATTTTCCACTATAAAAAAAAAACAAAAAAAAAACAAAAAAAAAAGCAATAAAATGATTTTGGCGATCCTCTCAATTCCTTTGGCAATATCATTTAACATAGTCATATTCTTCGTCCTTAGAATTAACCACCCTCTAACTAATTCAATCAATTAAACAACAATTACGTTCATTTGGTCGTATAATATTAATGGTCATAATCTAGAAATAGTCATGGTAATCAGGTCCACGCGTTCCACGAAATAAAAAAAATGGCACTTAATACTGTTGATGATTCAATTGTGGGGTGGATAGTGGCTATTATCATTGGATTCTCCACATATGCTCTGCACAATCATATTGAGTCGATCGAGGCTGCTCCCACTGCTCTGATTGGTTGAATTCTCCACCCCTGTGAAGCCTACAATGACAAAAATAGGGCCATTGTTAGGTACATGTGTTAATAGTGAAATAGAGTGGTTTGGAAGAATCGATAATCGATCCCGGCGGTTCTATCAAGTGAGAGCAATTAATTCTATTAAACGTGTCGCGGGTCGCATTCAATGGCATTTTGATGTTCTAGGCAGCCTGGGGCAGGGGATGCTCCAATTTAGGTAGAGCTCAAGCGCAGATGGATGGAAGACGAATAATTAATGCAGCTTTTCATTCCACCACTGATTTTGCTATTTGTCGAGATTTCCATGCTTTTTATGCTTTTCATATATGGCCAATATCGATGTGTTTTTACCCCAGAAAAATTGAATACCTCATTGGCCAATTATTCGTTTTAAAGATGATGAAGGATTTTATCTTTAATTTTAACAACCGAGACACATTCATACTCCAATTTCAGGAATTGACACTTCATGAAGATGTAAAATCAGATCTTCAGATGTAATTGAATAAAAAAAAAATGTAGTGGGATGAATAAATAAGAGAATTAATCAACTGCCGATTCGGGGCGCTCTTCAAATAGGTGTATCCATTCGATGAGTTCAACAAACCGCTCGAACAAATGATTAAACGTTTTCACTGCTGAATTCAGCAGTGAGAATTTATTGGAAATTTTAATTTATACTTCGATAGAGAGGAATATGTATTGCGATATTAAATAATTGACAAGGAATGGCTCAATGTGGTCAAACTGTCTCATTGAGTATGGTAGCGACAATGAGGTTTAGAACAGAAAATTTGCGGGATGTGATAATTAGAGTGAAGTGGAATAGAGGGTGGTGTGATTGGAATTCTGGTACAAAGGAATTATTGAATAGAGAGACCGGATGGTGGTTCGGTCCATTTGCATTTCATAGAGAAGTGCTTTAGGGCTGTGGGGCCAAGGTATACGGTAACAGTGCACTTGTGTTCCCTCCAGCTTCCACTTGCTCTCCATCTAATTACATCGTCTAATTACTACGGACATATGGGTGGAGTGAACGGTACAATCTCACAATGTCTTTGTTTTTCAATATTATATTATCTTTGGACTTTGTACAGAAAGAGTAGGTATGACTAGGTGCGATTATATTATAAATATCATTGTGAGATGAGAGTGAAGGGAGTGAGAGGGGTTGCTTGAATACACAAAATTACATGGGAGGAGGCAAGAGGAGCGGCATGATGAATCTATATCGGTGGATCAGAGAATAACTCAAGTGGGATTGGAAAAGTGTTTGTTCACCACGTGGATGAGAATTTTTCATCTCTGCTAAGAATAACGGAGTTGATACTATCTTATACGGAATTTTATTAGTTGTGACATCTCCATTTACACGCTCCTGATGTGATTCGGTTTGGCGTCCTTTAGCGAGAATATCTCCATTTGCCAAGTGCTTGAGAATGCTCTACCTCGTGGAGTATGCAACTGACATGAACGTGTTTTTCTCGTGGAATATACCTAGGGCATTGAAGAAGAAACTCGAAAAAATAATACTCTACAAGTGTTAGGAGTTGTCAGTTGGCGTATGTGACAGAGGCATGCACCGCGGTTATAGTGCAGTTTATAACAAGGTAAGAGGCAGCAAGGCTCCAACTTTTGGAATAAGATAGTTGTTGTCGTCTTATATACGAAAGGAAAATGGAGAATACTGAAAAAAAGAAGCTTTACAATTCCATCACAAGCAATCATCGTGCCGGTTCAATTATCGGGCCTTGGTAGAGTGAGAGGACTGAGGATAGAAAATCCAAGTGAAGCGTAAAAAAAGGCAAAGTTAAAGGGTTGTCATAAGCTGTTGGACTGATGTGTAATGGATGTCTTAAGTGTTTAACGCTGCCGACGGTTACAGTGCCGCAGCAGTGAGTTGGTGCACTTAACGGCCACCGTTGGTGCTTTATAATAAAGAACGTTGGTGAAAGCATTTGGGCTTTGTTGGCTATTGATCGATTTTTGCTATCAATCTTCCAATTCCAACATCACAATCAATCGTACATATTATAATATTCCGAGGGAAATGTGACGACACATGTCAACCAAGTACCCATCAAAACATCATACCGTTATTAAAATTCATGTAAAATTTACATGTACTTTGATCATTGATTGCTCTAAAGGAATTGAAAATCCCTCCATCCGTTATTTTCCATTTTCAGCAGTTTAGTAAGAGACAGCATATAGATATTCCTCCATCATATTTCTCTCTCCTTATCACTATCAGATTAAATATTTTCTCCAGCTTTCATCTCAACTGTCTTCACAGATGTAGAAAAAAAAATAACAATGGAAAATTTACTCCCCCCGGCGTATCTCGGAAAAAAATCAGTTCTCTCACTGGAAATCTCCAGTTCACTCATAAACCAAGCTTTATGTACAATTTATTCGTTTATTTATTTCTGTTTTTAGCCTCAACACGTTTAGGTAAAACTTGGAGTTTAAAATAACTGCTGCAAATGATTTTTATTATTCTTTCAGTAAAGATTTGTGTGGTAATGATGCTCTCAAGCTTGGTAGAAACTTTGGTTCCTTAAAAAAAGTTTCTCTGCCGTCGGGTAACAAACGAAGCTTCACTCTTAGAAAAGCTGAGCCCCTAAAAAACGACACGAGTTTTATCGCTTCATCGTGTCATCATTTGGGCGCCAATGCCAAAGTCCAATTATATGGCACGTAAGAGTAAGTGAGATTGCTCACCACAGTATTTTTAATTGAAGATTTTTTTCGTCTTCATTGTGCGCTAAGATAGTACTTGAGTGGGAAAAAATTGATTAATGACTAAAAATTAAAAAATATTAAAAGAAAAAGACTCAAAGCTCTTAGATTTGGGTCTTGGAATTGGGTTGATCTAACAGAATCTAATGGAATGTCTAGTTACATTAAGTTTTTTGCTGGACGCTTTTTCCTTCAATTTTGGAGGGAATATTGTGTTAGTGGTGGCAGAATGCAAATGAGCGGAAACTGACCAAATGCAGATGGACCTGCTGAATAAGAGTGTAAATTGAGAAGAAATAGAATACAGACTGGAGAAAATTTGCCACTTTCGTTTTAATGCTCGTACAGATGCATCTCACATACCTTAGAATAAAAAGCTAATAAAATTATGTGATTGCTATATAGTAGTATTTTCCCGGAGACTAGTGTATATATGGCGCTTTACACTTATGGACGTTAACTTTTGATATTAAAGAAAAGTTCCAATAATTTATTTGAATATTTGTGGGTTTAAGATAAGGAGTAGCGAGTGGCTTAATGGATTGAATTTTTTTTTCCATAGGTGTGGATAAATCAATTGGATTCCTGAGGCAATTTACGATTATTCGCAGTAATGAATAAAAACAATTGGAGGGCAACAGAACAACCCTCATTAAAATTTAACTTTAACTTTACAAGGCTCTCGGCCATTCGAGGAAAATATATGCGAATGGCATGGTTTAATTGATCATTCTCCAGTATAAGTACCTCAGTATGGTCTATTTACATTCTGTTTAGGACTCATTATCGCATGTTCAACCAAGTCGTCAACAATTTGACATACATAAATAATGATAGATGATGAAAATATGCAGTGACTGAAATGAATGAATGAATGAAATTAATGGTACGTTTTGAGCGAATTGGCGTTATGAACGTGGTAAGCCAAGACCGACAGGTAAAAATAACTGGTCAACTTTCATGGATGAAGCAATCTACAAGGGTATACATTATTTTTGAAATTTAAATTAACAATCTATGAATAGTTGGATTTTTCAAGGATTGCATCGCAACTAGAAGCACTCAGCGAAATGATATGTCGAATCAGTAGATGTGATTTATTTACCTCGTGTCTATGTCGAAAGACATCATGAGTCATGGGATACCCTGTATGTACCGGTAATTTCCCTCCCCCTCTGTTATACCCGTGCGCATTTACACACTACAACCGTGACACGATAATTCATCGCCACGTTAAACGCTCGTTTCACGGCATAATTTAAACGGGCGTTACGCATTTAAGAATGCACTTTTTTTTGTGATAAAAACACCCTTGAACTTGATGTTTTTCGCTTCTTTCATCACATTCCAAATAAATATCGTTTGCATTGAAATAATCATTGTCTGTATACTGCAAGTACTTAATAGATCACCATATCAGCTGGAAAATTCAGTTTCTCGTCTATCTGTAAAAAACTATGAGAAATTAATTGAGCTCGAACCCTAATGGGAGCTCTATTATTTCAGTGCGAATTTAACAAAGGATGTCAAGAAAAAATAGACACAGCATTTGACAGTAAATGCGATAAAGTAGTATATTTAATTCAAAGTATATTATGCTTGTTTAATTTTTTTGTAATGCATTTATAATTGGTTGAATTCGCATTTTCACACTTGAAGGAATTTAATACAAAATCTTGAAGGAGAAAATAAACCCATTAGTTGACGCAAATGAGATTGTCTGGGCATTACTGGTCTCTAAAAGCAAACAAACGACAAAAAAAAAAAAGAAAGATTTTAGCATCTGTATAGTTCGTACAATTCCGTTAATTGAGAAATTGTCGCTTTTATGCTTTAGTGCGTTATGAGTAATCCTCATATGAATAAATATGCAATGTAAATCAGCACAGTGTATGAATTAAAAGGGGTTAATTACATTTTCGTCTTCAAAGGGGCACTCGGACGGCCGCTAATTTGCCCGAGTCCTCTTCTCTGGTACTCCAGTGCAACTGTACAGTGCACACTGCACACTGCACACTGCACAGTGCACACACTCATACTCACCATCAAATCCAAAACATTAAAACCCATGGGTGCACCGAAAATACAATGTACACGTGAAAGTACAGAGTCCCGTTCATTCGTCGCTCATTAGCGTAGAATAACGTATGTATGGTGAGTAAAAGTTTAAATTACATCAGGTTTGCAAAATTGAGAATTTTTTGCAATTTTATTTTCCAATTTGTCCTTGCGCATGATGGAGCCATAAATTTTGCTGGTGAATTTATCACTGGCTAACAATTATTTTGCATTCCCATCAATTCTAATGTTGCGACAATTGAAGATGCATTTGTGGAAATTCATAAATAAAAATATTAGAGATCCAATGGAATGACAAACAGAGCTATAGTGGACTTTTTCCCCTAATTTGATGAAATTTTCCAATGAGAGAAACAAATTATTACTGAAGGATATTGAATTTTTCTATAATTTAGCACAATACTTTTGATCATTTCAAGCGTAAACTATATAGTTTATAACTGCAACGGTAAGTCATGGTAATGTTCCGTAACAATATATGGCATTCCTAGATAGGGTACCAACAGTAACATCCATTCGTTGATACTTACAATGTTATGATTAGATTTAACAACACTAGATGATTGTTATGTTTTCCATGAAATTTAATTTGCACATGTACGAGAATAGTGAAGAGATGTATTTTTGCAATCATTATCCAAGTTTCAGTGAGTGGAGCGGTTTGAATCGGGCCACTCGCGAATATTCCATGGGAGTCGAGGCGAAACGCATGGACATTAATTAAAATAATCAGAATCCACACCGGCGCGATACGACACGCTTGGGTAAATGACTTGGCACCATCTTCCACGACATCCCACCTGATATACAGCAGTGCACACACTCTTGAAAATTTTTCTATATAATTGGAAAAAATAATAATAAATGGAGGAACTCATGTCAATACATATGTATGTGTACAGATATCGAATGGTTAATCAATGCAGCTGAGTTATATCACCTTTTCTCATACCCAATCATCATGGAAATAAAGACCAAGGGTGAAAAGGCCGTAAGCCTAACAACAATATATATCGTGTTAGTGAGTAATTTTTCGCGATGAATTTTTATGCTCGTCTCAATATGCAAGATCAATTTTTTTTTCACATTTCCGTTAAAATGGTTGGAAGGAGAAAAATTAAAATGAAAAATGAAAATAACAGTACAGACAGGGAGAGTGATTCATGCTTTTAGGAATTATGAAATTTCTCCAAGTTGTAAATACACCTCGGAGAGAGAAGCACGGTGTCTAAGTACGAAAATTAGTCCCTAACCGTTTGAATTTAAGTTTTCCAACTGGGCGGTTTGAGACGAGAAATTGCCTTGGGACTATTTATCGTGGTTCTATAAATTTTCATGTAGTGCCATGTACACCGAGTGTGTTAAATGTGTGTTGTGCTGCTCTAGCGTTAGACCTATTCATTTTATTTTCACTGGTAGTACTCTCCGTACTACAAATCCGCCAACCTTTCAGTTTTCAACTTTATTGGTTGTAGAATTTTTTATTTATTGACGATACTGAATAATTTTCATCAAAGGGAATGCATGTAATACTTCCGCCAAATTTTTATTAACATTAACAATGCTAATTGATTTTAACAATAGAATTAATTTTCCCCCTATATTAATATATAATATGAAAAGTCGAATTGGATGGGAGAGTCATTAGGTAAATTGGACGTACAATGAAATTTTCTCAGTAGCCGAAAAGTGACAAATTTCAAGCCTGTGGAGGTGGTAATTTTACATAGAAGTAAAATTGAAGTAGGACCTGGGGTGGTCTCGGGGGCGGTGAATAATCATTTATATGTGGGCACTCCATCAGCAGAGTGGGCTGTTGGCGGGAAAACTTTTGGTTGAACCGGTTGTTTGTCGAGGCGTGAGACGAAGGTATCCCTCAGCAATTCACTTGGATGATGTATCCTCGGTAAAATAATAAGAAATGCCAAAGGGCTGTCTGACCATTAGTGAGGTGAGCAAGAGGTTATACCTGTGCATTGCCATTGGTATTACATACCCAATAGGAAATTAAACATTAAACATGGCTATTCAAACTCACGCCATTACATCGGCTTTCTCTCAAAATATTTCCTCATACGACAATAACTAGTATTGTTAGCGCGAAGAATTGGGATGAAAAGTCAGCGGCGAAATAAAGATGTGGAAATTAGTGGAGATGGGAGGATGGGATAAATTGGTGACACGGGAAAAGATTTTGTTTTTTTTTTCGGTGGATTAACGGAGCATATATATTTCTCATTGGAAGAGAGAGAGAGAGAGAGAGAGAGAGAGAGAGAGAGAGAGAGGGAGAGAAGTGAGAAACGCGCGACGAGACTCATGGGTGGGCTATGTATAGACGGGTGAGTGTAACCAAATAGGAACCAGTGTGCCACTCGGGGGTGACAAAACTCATTAATACCGATCTGCTTAATGCTCCGTCTCGTGTCTAGCATTAATCTACTTAAAAATACCTTAATACCACTTTAAGTGTGAAAAAATAGGAAATAGCGTTCAATTTTCAACTCTCTATGCCTTCCTTCCGGGAATCCAATATTATCATTATTATCACACATTAACAATAATATTGAGTCTCTATTTTTTTTTTAATTTAATCACTATTAGATGTTGAAATCATTTGAAGAGCGCAACAATATGGAGTATTTCATTTCAATCATCATTGACAATTCGAACGATATAAAAATTTTAAACATTCAATCCTGAACGATTCAACACCACCATTTATAGTATAGTTGAGTGGCCGGGTGGTATTGTCGATTGATAAAATGATGCACGATTAAACAAATAAAGTTGTCCGGGAAGATCAAGGAATGATTGGTTGATTGGTGTAATGTGGCAAATGAAAAAAAAATTAAAAATAATGGTAAGAGCTGGTACGGTGATGGTCAGTCACCTTTGTCGTCTGTTCTTGCATCATTTCGGCCAGATGCATCTTGCAGCTATAGATGATGGGGAGGGGAGAGGATTCGGATTAGTTGTCAGCCAGATGCTAGGGGATTTTTTCTCTCGCTGCAGCAGTAGACATGAACGGGACCACGTGCAGGGTGGCTGAACTTGGCAAAAAAAGGTGCTACAACTTTGAGACGAGATACTGCACGTGGCGGGGGAATTATTTCATTGACAAAGTATGCTGCATCCGTTTTAAAATGTATCACTGAATCACGCGGAATTATTTTGTGATGCTCAATGGGGCTTTATATTTACTTTTTCAAGTTAAAGTTACTTTTTCACTGTTAAAGAAACAGTATTGATTAAGATTTTCAGTGTTGTACAACATTTAACAAAATTTCTTTCCCATCCCAATAACTTTTTTCTAGAATGAATAAAGGATTTTCATTTTTTAATTTTCACTACTTCTTCTACTTCTTCTTTTTTTTCTTATACAGCTTCTTTCTGCTTCCCTTTTTGGCTAATTGGCCCTATCCTACCCTATGCATGCGACTGTGAATCCTACACTGCATCGTATTCACTCTTCTACAGAACAGGCGTGACATGGGAAACCATCAGAAAAACCATATCGCGGTGCAGGTGGTTGCTCGATTAGCAACCTCCCGCTCATCGGTGCCTGTTGAAAAATTCCATTCAACGGAGAATCAAACCTACAACTTTCAGAACACTAGGCTCGCACCTAGCCGTAGTGGCTATGAGCTACCGACCTCGGTTGAAAATACTTCACCACCAAAAAAATGTTTTCAGCACTTACCTAATTAATTTTTTTTTTTTTACATATAATGATTCGAAGAATTTTTACAAAAAATCGATGAATGCTCTAATAATTGATGAAGGAATATAGCATTTCAATCACTCGAGTTTTGGGAAAGATTCTGCTACATTTTTTTACCCTTGAAGGAATCGCGCCCTCATTTGATAACTCAAATAAATTTAGCCGACATTGAATAAACACGGCTCGAAAACGACGAGAAAGAGAAAGAGGAAGAGGAGAAGAGGGAATTACTTGAAACTTTAATCCCAACGAAATCGCGAAACTTCATATCTGAAGGTAAAGACAACACAACGTCCAGGACAATCCTATTCGTTTATTCTTTTCTGAAATAACATTTAATCTCTTTCAAACTTTAACTTGAAAGATTTACTCTGAGTGAACGCAACGAAGAGGAGAGAAATAAAATGAAAATCGATGGCCAGGCGTGAGGAGAAAAACGACCGATTCAGGGGAGAGATTCAATTAACGTTCTCAATTTCCCGTGGCTTTCTTCGGGACCATTTCTAGGGAAAGATCTCCGAGTCTCTCCCTATTTGAAATCTCGTAGATGTTGCTTGTCTTGTTTAATCCCTACTTAATGAAGCTGGATTATTCCATTCATCATGCTTTATTAAAAGCGACAATTCCATTTTAAAAAAGGATGAAAAATCAAAATAACGGTGAAGGTAAAGGTAGAATAAAAAATAAGTATAGAATCAACAGTACTGATTAAGGAACGATAGCCCATAGCGATACATGTCTTCCAAAAAAAGGGGTAAAAAAATTATCCTTTTTTTATCATTTCATTCTGTTATAACCCACGTACAGTTAATTAATCCCTTTCTAAATGGGGATTTTATCATTTTACCAGCTTTTTTTTCCGATGATAGAGTTATCCTCTGCGGGGTTTAATAAATTTGCATGGAAATTAATACCACTTACCGTTAATAGGTTGAAATCTCGCTAGTGGGTCCGAAAATTGGCGAAGTCTGTCTGTGACGTACTGCGGAGATTCACCACTCTGAAAGGTGAAGTTTTTTTATTGATTCCATTAATCAATATTAACTTTTCAATAGATAATTGAGGCATTGATTTTGAATGAGATTTTTTCATTCGCAACAAATGAATGATTCGCGGCTTGATGAAATTTTAATGTAAAAAAAATTCAATTAGAAACTTTTGGGCGCATAAATATATGGAGAAAATGAGGAAAATGTATTGTTAATTGAATAGAAAATTAATAATATATTTTATAATGAATAATTGTGTTGGGGAACAGAGAGACAGGAAGGGAGAGAGAGGGGGGGGGGGGAGCAAAGCTCCTCGGGGTGCTGCGGATGCATCATAGAATCCCGGTGAATAGAGTTAAGTGGACTACTATTTTCTCTCCCTTCTCACTCTCACTCGCTCCAACTGTTTTTTGGCTGTTTTGCCCCAGCTGTGCCACGAGCTGGAGAATAATTAATGTCTCGGCCCATAAAGATAACGGGGGAAACTGCCAACGATTTTCCAACATTTTGTATTTGCCATTTCCTCCCTCTTTTTTTATGCAATGCAGATCTCACGTATATGTATGAGGGAAATGCAATCTAATAATTCATTGAAAAGCTATATCTCTGACTTGTTTTCTCTCTATTGGACTTTTATACTGTGAGATGTTATTTGCCCGCAAATTAGACGATATAGTAAAATACTCATTTGTATAGCTTGTCGTTGGAATAAATTTTTTAGTTTTCTACGTTTCAATTATTCTAGGGCAAAAGCATGTGGATTATTGTTTGCCTATTTACCATTATTGATGAAAAAAAAAATCTTCATATGGAGCATAAATATATAAGATTCTAGGATTATCATGATATATGTGATCAAGTCGAAGGCGTCGCTGTGTCGCGTTTACGTCCGGCAAACATCATAAACCCCACTGGATAATGATTCCTCCCCATTTAACGACTGCGCTCCGAAACAAATTACATCTTCTCAACTCAACCGCGCAAATTTACATACCAAAGTGGAAAGCACTAATAGTCAACACAAATTAATGCTAATAATTTCGTACCAATGACACATTTCGATGTAGCTTTCACCCAAGAGCTCTTTTTACGATGGTGGTCGAGGGGCTTTAAGCATTTGCGCGTGGAGATATAGATTTTTCGTCAGCATATAGCGCTCGAGGCGTAGGCGACTACTTTTTCTTCGTCCAATTGATCATAAAACACTCCGTTGAGGCCGATAAATCTGATTATTTTTTCACCCAGAGAATCGGTAAGTATTTTCATAAATCAACGGATCGTTGACCAGGCGCTTATACTTTGTGAAAAACCCCAACGAGAAAAATTCAACAGATTAAATAAAATAAAGTAAACATGGCATTGGAAAATTGATGTAATTGAATGTAATTTATACGGGTATTAGGTATATTTTGTTTGTTTGAAAAAATGAATAATATTGTCAAGTGAGGTGAATTTTTTCCTATTCTGTACGCACCATTTTTATACACATGCCACACACGTTTCATTGCGTCACATTAATTTTCATCGCATTTGTGAATGCGAGATTGAATTTTATCCATGGTTATTGCTGATTTTTATCCATGGTTCTGGAGATACTCCAATAAGGCATGGTTCTAATATTTAACCATAAATAAACGGATTTTTTCACCTTATTGATTAGTTTGCTGTACGTGGATTGAATTTATGTAGTTCAGGTGGGTTATACAAATGTAGGTCATACAACAATTTTGATGTTTAAAATGCAATTAATGTTAGTCATATTGAAATTAATAATACGGTGGATTTTATGAACTGATTTAGCTTAAGAAAATTATCAGAAGAATAATGCTAAAAGGTCAATTGTAATTTGGTAAATTGTTCATTATCATTTTGCGGATAGTCCAATTCACCCAATATACAGGGACTTATTCTCTCTTTCTTTCACCCTCTCTCAAAGCTTATTTCCGGTCGTCACAACACAGTGGAGGACAGTGGTGATGGGTAAAGTGAGACAGAGAATAATATGAGTTGAAAGAGTCTTCTCCGTTGTACGTGAGGCGAACCAAAACGTGATGATATTACGAATTACGTTTCGAAGCCGTGTGATATAAATATAAGGACTCGGTTCGTCGTGATTTCCGAAATATCGAAGTGAAATTCTACTAGAAATTTTCCCGGCATTATTAATATAAAAATCCATTTGAGAGTGGTTGTGTTTATTTTAGTATACATTAGCCCAAAAAAAGGAAACCCTCCTAAAAATTCATTAATGAAACTTCTAAACGTATTTCACAACCAAGGAAAAGAATAATTGGACAATGGAAAAAGTGTGGTATATACTCTGTAAATGCCAAGTTGAGCATGCTTTTATCGTAAAGCTTGCTGACTTAACGATACCACTGGGGTGAGATACGGGCTTTAAATAAGCACAATGTTTGCGCTTGGTAGATAGCAAAGGAGGAGTGGAACATTTCGGCCTGGACGATGTCGGCTGTCCCACATCACTGAGAGAGGCTACGAGAGGACACACTCTCCACACTCTTTTGAGTTCTCCACCTTGATATATGACGCATGAACGCCAGACTGTTAAAAGGGATAAAAAAAAACAGAATAAATGAAAAATATGGCCAGGTCGACCTTATTCCTTTGCCCATGGCAACCTTCTCACTTTCCTCAAGTTTAGCTTTATGTTATATCAGCAATATCTTTCTCCGAGGAGTGGTACCGTGGATAAAGAAAAATATTAGGCAAATTATGCTATTATTTTGTCTCATGATATTATGATGGAAAAAAAAAATCAACACAATTATATCGATTTAAAACGCTTGGACAGCACAACAACCGTGAATAAAGTAATTGAAATGATGGGAATTGGAGGAAAAATTAGACACAAATTAGAGGAAAATTTTAGCCTGGCGACGGGTATAGGATATAGTGGAATGGTGATTTACAGTTTAAGTTGGATGTGTAGAATAGTGGCGGTGTGGGTTTATATTTAGCGGAGTATATAGTCGATGTCGCCATCAGAGGGTAGCCTCAATAATGAAATAAGGAAATAACTATACCAATACAATAGTGATAATAAGTGCGTAAGGACAGCAAGAGTTTATAAGGACAATATATTTCATTGTGTAATCCCTCACTGGGCGAAATTCTCCCATCGCCTTCCATACCGAGCATTATATCTTGACCCGTTATACCCCGGAGATTCCTCCGACTCTCATTGCCCCATGTCATCGGGTGGTAAGATGGTAAGATGGCAAGTTTACAAGCACCTAACAGTGTTCATTTTTATTAATCGCGTGGTTAAACTGCCGACAGTCAGGAACAGTCATAAATTAAAATTACATTTGACTCTGTGATAATTAACGCCAGTATTTATTTTACTCGCTCGACGACCCATCAACACAATTGAAATAATACGTTATATTCTCATTTAATAATATGGCACAAGAACGACCGATTAATATTTCAATTTTACTGAAAAACGATAAAGTGTTTAACAATGAATTATTTCATACAATTACAAATCAAGCTTCCGCTGGTGTATAAAAATTTTATTGGTTATTTATTTAAAAAATTGATTTATCGATATTTGCGATAAACATTCTTTACTGCGAATGCGAAATTATGGTGTTTGGAAGAGAGTATTTCACTATCAGCGAGATTGTAAATATACATTTTTTATGGAGGATTGGCTCCTTTTCTTTCTGATCCTCTTCAACCTCGAGGTACATAAATTCAACGACGCGTGTTAGTTAATCTCTCTAGTAGCCCACAACACAAAGAATTGAAATGATTACAGGGAAAGAGATTTGGGCATATTTTTTGTTTATGCCAACGAGTCGTCGGTGTCACGCCACGTGGTGGAATATGAAAAATCGAGATATTCCCATCAATGGTCATTATTCTTTTGTCTTGGGGAAAACCCCAATTAGTGTGGTGAACATTGTAGAGGCAATTTTAGAAATTTGAAAGTGACCCAGGCGACTTGTACTTAATCCGGGGAGGAATAATTAAAAATGAATAAAGTCAGCGAGAGGGACTCGACCAACTATAAGGTGTATACTGAAAGAAGCTTTACTTACTGTATTTTCTGATACGTGATTCTGACCGTTGGTCGATCTATTGCCCTGGAGTACTGCCTCGAGGCTCTCAATGTATTCAATAGCATTCCTCAGTATCTCTACCTTGGGTAATCTCTGGTTGGGATTGCTACTCGTTCTCCTCTTCAATACTTCAAATGCCTCGTTCACCTGAACGAAATCACATTGTACGTTTGAGTTGTCACATCAAATATTCAGAAAAAAATTTACATTTACAGCAACATATAAGTAGTGAACCGAACATCTCAAAAATTTTACTAGTCATTATCCTCAGATTTTTAACCTGCGTTAATCCCTACCAAAAACTTGTCGCGAATTTACTAAAATGTGTGTGGGGGGCTTAGTACATCAAGCATTAGCCGTGCCATTGCACCTTTCACTCCTCCAAGCTCATAAACCCACCTCAGCTCTTCATAAACTTCACGAGAATATTTGGGTTTCCTTAATGAAAATGATGGCATGCAAGGAATAAAGGAGGGAGGAGGAATTTGGAAGAAATTAACCTTTCTCAACCGCCTCCTCTCGCGCAGCGTTGCCGCTTTTCTCCTGTCAACTGTCACGGTTTTCTTTTTGCATGCTTTGCAAGCCCACAGCAGGCACCTCCGCGGCCCATGGGGTGAAGTTGCGTCCAGTACGTGGGGATGCGGCACGTGTTCAACACTCTCACTTTCATTAGTCGTCTCATCACCGTCTGCTGAGGCTGATTCTGGATCTCCTGACGCATCTGCCGACAGGATTGATGATGCGTCATCAGAGTCTGCCAGATAATGAGATTGTGAACTGAAAAAAAAAATCAATCCCTCAAAATACTCCTCGATAGTTTTACACTATAATTTCTAACAAAGTATGGTAACAAAGTATTTTCTTCATGTTTCATGTCAATTTTAAAACACCGTTCCTATGGGATAAGATTACAATCATACTGAATTACAAAACTGAATTCAAGTATAAGTATATGAATCGTGAAAGAATTTCTTCAGAATGTGGCATTCGCTAAAGAATGAATGAATGTCCATAAATATTTTTTAATTCGCTGTAAAATGCTCTTTCAAACATGAAAAATTATTAAGACTCTCAATCTATTTGCATAAAGCGAAAACAGTTTAAAGGTCAATAAATCAATTATCACCCCATGACACATGAGCAATCAACCCTTTTTGTTCATTACACCCGTGCCATTCGATTTTCGTGGGGTTAAACTTATTTGGCGCGTCAATAAATGTGTCAGCTAAATCCATGGGTTCACTACTTGGCCAAGTATTCAGCATTGTACAGCAGTCCTCGTATCCAAAAATTCTATCAGCCTCTGTTTCGTGAATCGAAAAGAACGGCAAATGCCAATATTTCATGGCCTTTTTCATTCATGGGGTTGGATTTTATATTATAGTACTCTCTCGGGTACTTGGAGCAATTTGAAAAGAGAGGGTGTGAGGGTATGAGTATAAGTGAAAGAGAGCTTTATCCTCAAGATCAAGAATAATATTTGCATTTTTATTACGCTCTTTTCATTGAGCGATTCTAATGCTTCATTCAATTCTCGAAATTGATTTTCAAATTTCTTGTACATTTGAGAAAAAAATCTTTCAATTGAAAATCTATTTTCCTCGTTCACTACTAACTAACAGGTAAAATGCTTATTTTTAACGTAAATTGAAAGAAAAAAAAAGTGGCATTAGCCAAATTGATGGTCAATCCTTTGCCAGGAATTCTCCATACCTCAGCTGATCGTCTCGATAATGACCAGAAGCAATGCTCTCTGGTGATGTAGCACTGCCATCAGCACTAGTAGCTGTATGCTGTTCATCCCTATCCCGTTCACCTCCGTAACTCGGGAAATATTCAGCTTCCGGCGAAAGGTAAAAATGCCGGTGTCGATGGTGATGATGATGATGGTGATGTGAATGGTAAGTATCGCACAAGGACCTCGTTTCATACGGATAACTTCCCACGTCTGTCATAAGGGTCATCATTTCACAGGCCCGTTCACGTCTTCAATATCACCAACACCTATCGTTATCTAGTACTTGACAACACTCATAATATTGATTTTTCAATCACGATTTATGATTTTTTTTTTTTATATATATGTGCACTTGACTGGATCTTCATCAGTTCACTATGATTTCAATAACCAACTGAAAAATAAATCTATTCATGTAATGTAATCGTTAGTTGCTTTCGTAAAAATATTGAGAATTATTTTAGAATGTGAATTTGATTTGTTAGACAAGTAGACCGGGTCCGACAATCACGAAGTCAGAGATCAGAGTGAAAAGTTTTAAGCCAATGTTTCATACCACATGGTTTGCCCTCGCTTACACACACACGTACATACACACACACAGCATTGTTGTTTTTTCCTCCCTTTTTCCCTCTCCCTGGGTCGTTGAGTAGTGTCTTAGCTCTGGATATTTACGTTTTACATGTGTCACAGGCCAGCCCCGACTATTTTTGAGGCACACGAATGGGGGGGAATTTGGCCAATTGGACACTGGGACCATCAACTTAGAGTCAAAGGATTATACACGCCCACCCTCTTGGCCTGTCATAGATGCATTAGGTTTGGCAGCAATAGTGTCGTGGGATGGCGCTGTATCATTAATTAGACCTACCCCACGCTGATATTACCACTCCCACTTATGCCCCCCCCCGGCCGCGGTAAATGATTTTTTACAATTTATCTGGCTGTCAGTGCGCTTGGCTCAACGTTTTGATATTAATTCATCATTGCTTTCATTTCATTCGTCAAAATGAAAAATAATAAAATAATAAATCACATTGAGTTTTAATTTCAATCGGTTTTTCACCGTTTCAAACATTGAAATTCTGTCCAACTCAAGATCATGTCGCAAAATGACGAAACAATAAAGAATATTTCTATAATGTAATAAAACAATGTGAACTATACTGTTATCATGATGTGTCGCATTTTTGCTAAAACAAGGATATGTGAAAGACCGCGTGAAATATAATAATGAGGTATAATAATAACATGTAATACAAATGTGTCGAGGGAGGATACATGAAAAGTTCTTCATTTCATTTTCTCGTTTATATGAGGTATATGAGGTATATGAGGAGTAAAATTTAGCATATCAAACGAAAATTTCAGCCACGAGTCGACGAGCGTCAAGTTGTATAGCACACACCTTCGAATTGCCAGGTCACCCGCAGGCGCACGTGATGATCGTTAAAATGCATTTTACCTTGTCTCTCGGTTTTTCTTTTTTTCGCCATTTTGTCAAAATATCGTATTTATTTCCGTATTTAGATGTGATCCCGAAACTAATGTAACACACGTAGATACGGGAAAGCGTTGGATTCGGGGAATCAGAATGGTCTATTGAGCGTCGAATAAAAGCTAAAATTATCCTGGCAATAATCCAGACGAGCAAGAGACGGAAAACGGTGTAGAGTAGCACCAAGCACGTTATACCACTGGTTATCGTCACACGCCAATCAGCTTGCCATTATATCTTCCTCATATTTTCCATCTCTAGAAAATATTTTTCATGAACCTCTTGTATCCTCTTGGGCTTTAACATATGCTTATGTTCATTGGTGGTGAAAAAATTGAACAAGTTGAGTGAGTTAGAGAACTCGATCTTAGGGCTTTAATTGACCAAGTGATTGGGTGAAAAATAAATTCAAACTCAAAGTACAATATTTTAGCGTTGCATTTTTGGAAAATGAAATCGTGCGCAATTGAGTAAACAAACTGCCCACTTCTCCATCTCGAGAACACCTGCAATCAATAAGCCATCAAGGGGGATCTTAGGGAAGGACTATTTGAGTATGCAATGCAGGACGTACAGCTTGCTCGAGGACTTGTCACTCTCAGTGCGAGCGAGATGAAGCCACCAATGAAGGGATTTCCATTACATTCCCACATATAGGTCAAACCGTCAACATAGAATGCAGTATATATTTCGCCAATAAGTTGAACAAGAATTGTCAACCACTTTAAATTCTTTTGACTGAGAATATAAATTCTCCAATGACCTGTTTAATGCATCTCGTTTATCATGTGACAGACTCTTCTCTTTTTTTTTTCCATTCCCTATTTTTTTATCCACTTTTAATCATCCTACAACAAAATTTTCAGCGCTCACTTCAATGCCCAAAAAAAATTCTATCTCTCCTTTTCATTAACATTTGTAAGAACGGTGAAATACTGAAGGCAGTCCACCATTCAAATGTCTTTTATCCTTTCTGTCTTTCCAGACGCTCCATGCATCGAATTAATTCCAGAATAGCGAAACTCCTCGGTGTTGCATTAAAATAATGTTAATTGAGAACATTCAACACTAAGGCATTGTCGAGGATATTTAATACCGAGGAAATGGTTCCTGGCGTAGAAAAATCATTACTCGTTATTTATATGCACATATATGCAGTGAGTGAGTTTATTTTTCAAGTACAATGAAGCTAAATATTCAAAGTATATTTTTTTATTATGATACTCTGGATTTTTATCTAAGCAAGTTGTTGGCTAGAAAGTGTTGAACAATTGCATGTTGGATATTAATTATTTTTTTAAATTGAAATAAAAAATGTGAGAATACCTACGGAATGCGAATAAATGATGTTTTTGCAAATAGCGTTGTATGCATGGATGAGGTATATTTTTATATGTCATAATAACCGGTGTTGTACGCTGACTCTTTTCACTCGATCGTAATCCGATGCATTATGTCGTTGGCACGAAAATATGTCTTTCGACAAATCAGAGATTTCCAATTCCTAAAATATTAGAGAGATATGAGCGTCTTTGAGACGAGAATTCATGGTATCATTGAAAGGTGGTTAGTTTTGACCAACGAGAATTTACTCTGACCAACATCTACATGATTCCTCGCATTCCATGAGAGGATTATGTGGGCAATTATCGCACTTGCCAATTCTCACGGTGCTGTTGCTTGGAGAAATGAGTATGGAAAAGGGCCGAGGCCGAGGCCGAGGTAGATTTACGTGGTTAATCTACTTACGCTCGTACAAGCACACACCCCAAGTCCAACTCATTCAACTGCGAACTTCCTCGTTGGGTCTCTACTGGTACAGATCATATTATCCAATATCGTCTACATGTGTATATTCATATTTTCTTTGTAATTCAAGCTCATCAATAATAGAGTGTGTCATGGATTTCTATAGAGCACACGTCGGTATTGTTCTCTTTGCGCGGAGAAGTGAACGAGGTGCGTAGCATGAAAATCTTACGCATCCGTGATTCTGTTTCGCTTTTGTTTTCTTTTCCTTTATGGAAATCACCAGTTCTCAATGATGGAATGAGCTGCGCGAACACGATTATTTGCTCACACTCCAGTCGATATTTTTTTCCACATCGGACGAACCCTAAATTTAATATTATTATTCAATTCTCTATGATGAAAATCAATAAATTGTATGTGCAGATAGGGGTCCGCAGAGTGTACGTTTCATTTGAAAATCAATAAAATGCAATAATTTCACAAACTGCATATCGTCATATTTGCTTAGGTATTATCAATTTCATTCTTCACGTACTTTCCTACCGCAGTGTTTAGGTAGAAAATACAATGGCATATGTGCATGACAATAATGTTTAAGATTTTCCATTTGATAGCATTATCATTTTACGAGCATCTTTTCCTTAATGTGGTAATTATCAAGTATATTATATATTATAAAAAAAAAAGTGAATGCAATGACCTTTTATGATTTTGGCAGAAATAAATGTGAAATAGAGGTCAAGGGAAATTGATTTTTGGCAAAGAGTTGAGGGTGGTGATGTTTATTGACAAACGACCTCTGTAATTGTAATTGTCTGTGTATGTAGGGGAAGTGATTGAATTTTTGTAAGGGGAGGATTGTGGTTCGAGTTCGAGTTTGAGTTCGAGTTCGAGTTCGAGTTCGAGTTTGGGTTACGTCGGGTTATGGTGGGTAGTATATATACGGGTGCAGTGGGTGGAACGGGTGGAGCGGGCGCGGCCAGCTCTATCTTTTGCACCCCTCGGCTCAAATCGGTGCCACTCGTGCGTCCTCGCGGCATATCGGGGGGAGAAACACCGTAGCACAACCACCTAAAAGCTCCAACCACTCAGATAAGACTGAGATGGAAAACGGGTCACGCGTACACAGATACAGTTACAGTTACCCCCTACACCCTACACCCTATACTATTCTCCCAAGCGAGTGTCTAGTGTCTCTCCACTATTTCTCCTCCAGTGCCATTCGTTGGGCCATGCCCACCCACATCTGCCAAAGTTCACCTAAGGCCAATGCCTCGCCCACTTTTATCCCAATAGCCTCATATGTCCTTTAACACTTTTTTATTGTTTTCCCCATTCTATTGCTCTCTCCTCCTCTCGCCTATAACGAATCTTACACCATCTTTGACACAATATTTTTTAAAATCATTTCTCATTTCTATTCACAACTCTCAGTTACACCCGAATTTCGGTATACACCGAAAAATATCAGAATTTCTCCAATATTTATACTGCTCATGCAACTCTTCACACCAGATTAACTACCATAACTGTTCGATTCACATTTGCTAGAAGCCTCATTTATGTTTGTCTCATTGTTGAATATTTAACAAAAAAAAATGAAAAAAATTCCCGATCGTTTATTCTCAAAAAAGAGTGAAAAGAGCGATTGCGAGGGATCAAATTTTGTCATTGAAACGCAGATCAATTGGTATACCAGTGGGGTGGAAACACGCAATTATTCCTGAAATATATGTGGCTCCCCTGCGGATCAAAACTATAGTATAGTTAGGAGTATTGAGTATACTGATATTTATCCTTCAAAATTTAATAAAAAAACTATATATCTATAAAATTTCGACTTTTTTGTATAATTGGTCTCTTGGGCTATAAATTTCGACATGGTTTCATGATTGTGTTGCTCTTACTAGTCAATGTATCTATGAAGAATATATGAAGAAGAGTTGTTGATTTTGTTTTTTAATTCGTCATGAAAATACTTTTGGGGGAGGGAGGAGGAGGAGGAGGAGGAGGAGGAGGGGTGTCGGTTTATTGATGGAGTTTACTGGGCAAGATTGAAGCAATTCCACCGGAGCTCCTTTGCGCCACCAACGATTTTTAATTCATCGATCGATAATGGATGCGTCGTCCATCTCTACTCTCCCCTGTTGGGATGATAAACGGGACTCACCATATACAATATTCGCCATGTGTTGCATCATAATGGATGCCAAAATTCGTTTAAACTTTTATAATTAGGAAGGGTTAATACTCCTTTATTTTGTCTATATATCTTTTTCCGGAAAGGCCTGCATGCTCGACTCGGCTTTTGGGTGGTATCCTGGGCACAGCTCCGATTTGAAATGCGTACAAGCCTTATGGCTTGCTGCACGATGTTCCTGTAGGACAATGTACATCTCTTATGTGTCCCCGGACATTTTCACATGAGCCACCGGTGCGACCCCATATCCCTTATCGTTGGTGGGAAAACGAATGACACCGATAACGCCAACACCGCCAAGAGCCAGTACCCACCCAGTATATGGTTCAAGCAGACCTCGAGGTATAATTATTGAATAGTCTAATCTAGAATCCATTAATTTCATTGTTTTCATTATCGTTCATGAAATCTAAAGAGATTTTGATCTCTGTGAGGAATTGGAAAAACTCAGCCTCTGGAATAATTAATATGCCATACAATTGGTCCACGCACATTATGTCTTCAGCAGTCGCCAAAGTATTCTCTCACGTACATAGAAGGGTTCGGCTCACTCATATAGCACTCATTCCAGAGGTAACATGTTACCACGAATATATACGGGTGTAATGGTAACATCGGTAAAGACGGGCTTCTCCCTGATGGCTTAAGAAGCTTAGTGATAGCAGAGGGAGCAGAGGGTGGATAACGAGATGTAGGCGAAACTGAGGTGAGTGGGGTGGTGGATTGGTGGATTGGTGGGGTGGTGGGGTAGTGGGTTAGAAAGAGGGAGATGGAAGAGCCGTGGAGCCGTGGAGCCGTGGAGACGTGGAGCCGTGGAGCCATGGAGCCATGGAGCCATGGAGCAGGAGAAAAGAGGGTGGGAGTTGGGGTCGTGTGTTGCGGGCTGCTGCGGCTCGGGCGCGACAGTCCTTCTACCGCCGTCGTATGGATCACTTGCGCCTCCTCGTTTTCCTCACCTCACCACTCTTCATTACTTCGTCATCACTCCGAGATTATTATTATTCCTTTATTTTTTCATTCTCCATTAAAATGACACGACTCAACGGTCCATCTTCCAAGCCTATGTGATTTTGTGAAGTGACGAGGATAACTAGAACGCAAAATTATCATTGAACTCGGAGTGAGTAAAGTTGTGATGTATTCTGTGCAATTGCAATCCCATTTTCAATTCTCTCTTTTTTTTTCAATCCAGAGGCGAAAAAAAATTGCCATTTTTTATGGAAATTCACAAGAGTTTAATAATTTCACTGACTAACCCCTATATATGCCCTTTCTCGCGGTTGGAATATACCTACCCCCCTCATCTAGTTGACCTTTTCATGATCGAAAAATAAAGCTCCAAATGAGTGGAGAAAAAAATAAACCCTGAAAATATTGAAAGACGTTGCGTGCACAGTGGTGGAATGACATTGGAACGACGGAAGAGAATGAGCTTGATTGAGCTGTGTAAAACAATAAATATACCAAAAGACTCTCGCATTAAATTCAGAGGGGATGGGGACAGCTTGTGGGCCGTGAGAATGATATTGTCGATGGAAACTAGGAGTGACAGGGACAGTGACCAGTAAAACACTTATGACTTGTGCGAGTCTGCAACTAATCCCTGAAAAAATCACCAGTCGATCTGACAAGTGAAACGAAGAGAGAAAGAGAGAGAGAGAGAGAATGCAATGTACCTAGTATCGGGTTGTTCACTTCATAATTACGAAGAAGACGACCAACCGCGTTGGTAAAATTCTATATTGCGGAAATGGTTGAGGGGCGGGATTATGGACTCGGTTAGTGGGCGGCGCAATGAAACTGGTTTGTTTTTTATGGAGAATTGATCGAGTACGAGATCTATTGAATCAGAAAAATCATTTCAAGTTGAATCATCATCAATCATCAATCATGAATTTTGTTTATAAAAAAAAAAGCATATTAAAGACAAAGTACGAGAGTATGAGAATTTAATTGTAACTTGCGGACACCATGAAATTCAAGTAATAGAGAACCCATTTCCAGAATATTTTCCTTTTTGGTTTGGGGAAATGGCATGGTAGCATTAATTATTGTTCATTTTTTCTTGAATATATTGCTTGAATTTTCCTATAAAAATATTAAAAGCATGAATCGTTGTTGTTCTTATAATAAAAAAATAATAAAGGGGGAAGGATCGCAGTTAGTATGCTGAAAAAGGACGGAACGTGATAACGAGCACAGCAATTAAACAGCACACTTGGTAACGAGCTGGAACGTGATTCGTACGGCAATCCCAGCGAGCCCACGGGTTTCCAGATACTCAAACTCCAGATATACATAAAATTGACACAATAATGCGTTTGAAACAATTACTATTATTGTCTCCCTTCTGCTACTTGTTCCCCTCTCATCTAGAAGAAAAATTTTTAACCACATATGCGTGTGCTAATTGCCATATAATGTGTTGGTAACTAATGATGACACAAATGGACTCGTCGTAATGAATTTTTAACTCCCTTCGGTACTCTCATTCGTTCCTCCAATCCGGTATTTTCAGGCGCATCGGTTAATACTTGATTATGCTTCCCATCAAGTATAGCGAGACCTGCTTCGGTCAGATATCAAACCTCCTTGTTTACATAATTCTGAATACATTTTTGAACATTATTATGCTTTCATTGTAATTTTTTACAATTTAAATTAGGGATTAAAATTAGGGGAAATTACACCTGATAGCACCTCAAACAATAATTATCAAACTTGTTTTGATTTTCAATTAAAACATGAATAACTCCATTCTGTACTCATTTCCATTCAATGCCTGCTTTAATTAATAAATAATGGAATACTTTAATGGAATACTGTTGAATTTCACCATCGAGCCTTATTACTAAACGAGTATAATTGTTTATTCTTTCAGGCAAAAATATATCATCAAAGTGGAGATAATGGAGTAAGAATTGGAAATAATAAAATAAAATAAAATCATTTGGATGAGATAAAAGTGTCTCCTCCACGAAATAGTTGACAACAAACTGGCATGTACTGTTTGAGTGTGGCATGCAGATGCGGCGGCGGTGGTACTGGGGACAATGACGTTGGTGCGAGATGAGACTGGAAGTGGGATACAACGGAAAAACGACAGGGAGAAGAAAACGAGGAAGCGGAGGAGGAAGAGGAGGGGGAGGAGAAAAGTGTGTGGGTGGTAGGGAGGAAGAAGCGCCACAGCCATGTCATGGGAGTCTGTCGCGTCCAAAGATTATCTCGGGTATATTTTCATATTTCTCTCTTTCTCTCTTTCTCTCTTTCTTTCAACCCTCCCATCACTAACTAAATCCAATTCACCAATTTATTTTACTTTCTGTTTATAGCTTGTTTATGTCATCCTTATTATTTCAAGGGAATTATGGTTTTCCGCCCTCAACATTCTATATGACAAATTTTATATTTTTTATTAAATATTTTTTACACAATGGAGGAGGAGTGAAATCATTTGAATACATAAATGTTCAGCATTTTTACAATGTAATTTCCTAGGTACATTTGTCGGATTGTAGTCTAGTCAATCTCACTGATGAAAGCATTGCATGTCTGAATTAACTAATCCAATATTTTTACTTTCATACCTTTTCTTAAAAAAATAAAAAAAGAAAAAAGAAAAAAAAAAGGTGTTTCCCTAGCCGGAGCTTCGTTGGCTCTGGCGGACAAGTAAAGTTTCCTATATTTTCATGTCACTGAAAGGGTCCTTAAACTCGCAAAAGCCAAAGAAAGACAGCCTCAGTTTTGGTATTGAAATGAGGATAGTGAGGATCTACAATGATGAAGTGAAAAGTACATTAGTAACATTTTCCCTAGAATTATCGCCTCTGAAAACATTTTTCGCGTAGATAGATTATCAGAGTTACGTACTCCGGGGAAAAAAAAATTCTCCATACATTGTTTACACTAATGAAAGAGTTTTTTTTTGTACTCAATTTTTGGAAGCTGCAGTAGTCATAGTCGCATTGCGGTGAAGGGGTAGTAGTAGTGCTTTCTAAGGCGTGTGATTCCATATCCTCAGCTACGCGTGGCTGGAATCCACGATGCTTGCCGCGGCTTTGCAAACTCCCTCTCTGGGCCACTGGCCAACAACCCTTTGTCTTCGGTGATTCCTTTCATCCTCCCTTTCTTCTTCTCTCTTCCTCTCCACCACATCATTCTACAGAATGACCTTTTAAAATTATGCTAATTCAATTTTCCGTCATTATTTATGAAATAAACCAAATTGCACTTATCCAATTCATTGAATGAACCATCATCAATCAGATTGGTTAAAATGTGTGCCCATATGTATATCTCTCCTCCCAATATACAATATTCAAATTTATAATTTTAACAGTTATCAATATTTATCCTAAGAAAACAAAATTTAATGATGAAACTTTTTCGAAGAGCTCAACTCGGAGACAATTTTTCACTATTTTAAAGCACCCATCCGTATAACCTCCAGTCATCACTCTCTATTTTTCCCATTTTTTTATTATTAAACAATCAAATGTTCTGATAATTCCGGACACTATGCATCAACATGTTGTACGAATCGTGTGCGGTGGAATTCTCATTTTCAGCTGAATATGATAGAACAGACGTGTGAATACAAAGGGTCACTCGAGAGATTGATTTGCCTCTGGGGGCTGTTGTACAACTGGTGAACGTCAATAACATAAATAATTACACCCGGATCGGAGCATTTGTTCTCACACGCTTACCACCCACACTAGGTACTGATCCTTGGTTTATCTTTTTCATTATCGCTCAGGGGCTCTGGAAGCCATCAATTGTCTGCTACCGCTCTTTTGGGAAGTCCGGACGGTTCAAGACATCCACTCGACGTCTACGAATTTGCCGAGGAGGATTACCGCTGCCAAAATGGCGATGGTGCCGTCGCTCAGTATCACAATACTCGATCTGGCATTGGAATTTGGGAGTGCCTCATGGGATGCCGACACAGGCTCGATCAGCAGCTGGCGAGAAGAAAGGTCAGCAATTGTCAATTATAGATGGAAAAGAGTCAATGGAAATATTCCTCTATTCTCGACTCTTCGAAAACTCCGAAAACTCAGGATCAAGCTTATTCAAACTTTCTATCGTGCAGACAAAAACAGTTATTCCATTTATCCGAAAAACAGGCAATTCAGATGAAAAGGATACATAATTTCTTTAACTCGACAATATTAAGCTCTCCATTTTCTCATTTAATTTCCCCACAATTCTTTAAATTTCCGCTTGAAAAAAATTTTAGCATTCTGTAAAACTTCAAGTTTTTCTACTATACTGCATCCTTGGATCTTTCCCGTTTATTTCTCTGAGGTAGCTTGTAGGAGTTGACAATAGTAAAAAAAAAAAAAAATCACCACCTACACAGAGGGCTTTTTATGAGGTGGATTCTTTGAGTTTTATTTTGTCACATTATGTAGATAGCAACAGTTGAGGAGGTAAAATAGAAAATCCTTAGGGGAAGAATGGAAACTGATGATTTAAGTTGAAATTACGATGAAGCCATATTTGTTATAATGCGATTTTTTTATAGATATATCATTGGGAGTAGAAATACAATGATTAGCCACGCTTAATTAGTCGCTCCTTGATGCTTAACAATCTTATTCTATCAACTTCATTATCACTACATAAATGGGACTATAAATCTATTCTAAAATCGAGGCTATGATTACAAAATCCATATACTCCTTATCGGAATATAGGAATATTCACTGAAAATTCAAACCGCAGGGTGATCCTCTGCTCTCGTTTCTTATTGCACGAGATCTACTGCGCACTCCGTGCGCCGAATTTGAATTTTGACTTCGGATTCGAGTTGACCAATAGGGAATCAGCCTTACGAGTTTCGACTCAGGCGAACTACATTTACCTATCTTTGCTTTCATGATAAGGACTCCAAGCATTTTTGTGAATAAATTTATTATTGCCATGCCACAAGTCGACGAGATTATCAATCTTTATCATATTGTTGGGAAACTTATTGAGGCAGTAGCTGATGGCATTGATTTTCGCTTAGTATGCCGGTGAGCCCCTCTACTCCCACGGGGTATGAAAATTTTTCCTGTGTTCTCCAGCCCAGTATTCAATTGAATTATTTTCCCGTATATTCTTCGAATGAATTAAATCCAATTCAATCCAGGTGGAGCCTCGATTTTTCTTATACTCCCGTAGACGCGTATAAATGTATAATAAAATACTGAATTTTTATTATTGTTATTTGTCTTTGACGTGTTTAACTCTGGAGTATCTGGTGATCTCTTTGTAACTCTCCTGTCCAACCCCTCGTTATGTATTTACTAAATGCCTCACGGCACGTGCCTCTACTCAAGCGCAACGTTCAAGGTTAAATCGATGAAACACCCTACTACTCAGCGGCTTGCTCTTGAGAAAATCACGTGGTGATTGCAAATTTCAAGCACTGTATTTTCATTTCTTCACTCGATCAATATACATTCACTCCACATAATCAAGTCTCGTTAATTTTCACGGGCCTCTATAAACCTCATTTAATCTGACGTTGAGCGTAAAAAGAAAGGCTAATCATTAATATTCTTTGCTAAACACTGGATATATTAAAACCCACATGCGTCGTTTATGCGGCACGTTATTCAAAGCGAAATACCTAAAAAAAAAAAAAATGTGCAAAGAGTAAGAAGTAATTCGACGAGTCGATATTAAATATTTTTAGAACGCCGATAAAGCCCGCTAGGCCCGCTAGTGTTCCACATTTGTCCATCAGTGGACAATAAATATTTACTCCTGTGTAACGCCCGTCAATACTTTTTTACTATGTTCCCGGCAACGTAATGATACTCAGTGAATTCAAGGGGAAAAATTAGGCGCACCAAGTTGACTTTTTTCCGAAACAATTTTTTCTTTGGCCGTATGACACCCACTATTTTTTGTCATAACAGCCGTAGTCAGCGTTTCGTGGACGCGAAGCACAGCGATGCAGCCGTAAAACACTGTCTTACAGCCGGAAGGACAAAAGCCTTTATTAACAATAATCGATTTTCCAATCGGAACTAAAACTGCGGAAAATTGTCCTAGTTGACGCTGTCAGGATAAACTTGGCATTTTTTAATATTTCCATGGTTTTTTTAAAATAAGATTATATCATAATCAGTTCGCCTACTGTGTGATTTCAACTATTCAGCAATTGTCCCATGTTTCTGTCTTGGAGGCGATCAGATTCACGTCGACTTGGCGCCATTTTTTCACAGAATTTTTTTGTGATTTTTTAAATTTACTCCTGTGTAACGCCCGTCAATTCTCCCAAGTTTTTTTCCCCTCTTCCTCTCCTTTTCAGACATTTTTTTCGCCGATTGGGGCAAGAAATTGAAGTGTATCTAGCACGAAACAACCGGAGCAATCCTTGATTTTCAGGTGGAACAGGGCTTGAAGCTGTACCGCGCTCACAAACAGCAGGCAGCGGTGAGAAAATGGCGAGGAGCCCTGAAATCCATAAGACATCGCGATGACAAGTTCACACTCCTCGGTTATCTCTATCAAGCCTATATGGACTGGGGAAAATATAGGTAAAAATTTTTATAATACGGACCAATGAGGAGTAGCTGAAAAATAATTCAGTGTCTTTCTCCCCAAAGTAAAAACGAAGGAAAAACTGTCGGAAACATGTGCTTTGCATAATTACTCCCTCACGACTCCCCACAATTGCCGTTGGTTGTGTCCATTAATCCCCCAAAATGTCCATCCATATCTGCATATCGATGAAGAAGTAGAAGAAGAAGAAAAAAAGAGGAATTGTGATGGAGTTGAGCTTCATTTCACCGCACCAATTCCGCGTATCCCGTGCGCCAAGTCGATCCCTTCCGCTCCACGGATTACGTCTCTCGTTCCGCACATGCATACATCCAATATCGATGCATATTTTAAAACTCACTCTCATCGCCAGCCTCTGATGCTGTATCAAGCTCAATATATCTCCTCATCCACCACTGTGGTACAATCGATTGGCCATTTTACCAGTAACTCCACTAACTAGGGGTCATTCAAAGTTTACCCACTCACTTCAGTTAAGGTTGTTCATCTGTATATTTATATTTTTACTAACCTCAGAGAAAATTAGCGTTTTCTTTTCTCCCCCAATTTTTTCCATTTCCCATGACTCCAAAGTCCTAACGCATGCTGATTTAATCCATAGCAATGGGAAATGAAACTCGTAAATAACCAGGATGATCAAGTACAAGATTTGTATTGTGCTTTCTGGGAATGCTTACACAACCCTTTAGGTATTATGTTCGGTAGATTCTATCGAAATATTCAAAATTCTCGGCACAGGTCAGTTTAGCTCCTCAACTAGCCACGAAAATCCCAGGCATTCCCAGTGAAGACGTGAAATTCCTAACAATTATTTGACGCAAGCATAAATTGTAGAGAAGAGAATTCATTGAAAAATATAATTGTACTACTCAATCATAATTTGGACAGGCAGATATCTCGAAGATATTTATTTTTATGTACATCTCAAGGAAATTGTAAAAGAAATGCGTCAACGGCACATGATAATATATTAAAAAAAAAAAAAAAATCAATAAAAAAAAGTGAATGCAATCAATACAAATCCAATCAGATTAATCACTTCCACCGACAAAGTGCAAACCCGGGCTGTTTAAAATTTATTTCTCAAATTTCACATGGCGTTGAATTTCATTATAGCGCAACTCCACTCATCCGCACACTCACACCATAAACCATAAACGCATAATTTATTCAAACCTACTTTGTATGACTGGTGGTGTAATAATCCGATCCTCGGAGTCCCCACAATCCGAATATCATAACTTGGGGCTTTTGTAGGGTAGCTCCTTTATAACGAGGCACAAGAGAATTATTGACACTCTACTGAGATGCAATTGTTGGTATTAGTATACCACAAACCACGTGACACTGAACTCTTTTTATCTCTTAATTTGTGCATTATAAATTCTCATTCGGTTGTGTTACCGTTCGCAGAGACAGTATAGATTACGCCCACAGACAATTGTGTATCTCCGAGGAGCTGGACTCACCGAATATGAGAGCAGAGGCATATTTGAATTTGGCTAGGGCGCACGAGAGGCTTGGGGCCCTTGATAGGGCACTTGCATATGCAAGGCACAGGTAAATAAATTCACTCAATGATAGATATTAAAATTAATTGGTTTTAATTTGCAATTAGTCTTTATAACGAGTGCGATCAGTGTGCCACTGCCGGATTGGTGCATTTGACTGTGGGTCGGGTTCACTTGGAGCTAGCTGGATTCTGCAAAGCGCTGGAAGCTTTTCAGAGAGCTCACAAAATTGCTCATTCAATTCATGATCCTTCATTGGAACTGCAGGTATACTCACATACCTTTCGATTCGCCACTTACTCTGTTCAACGGGAAACAGAAAGTAATGCAGTTTTGGTTCAAGGAAAAAATCACTAAATTCAAAGAATCCTGATTCCCAATCAGAAAACAATTGATGCTCATAAAATAGATGTTATCGTTAAAATGTAGGTCTACGTTGGTCTATCTGAGTTGTTTTGCCGCCTTCAAGATGCTGATAAGAGTGCAAGATACGCAGCGAAAGCCTATGATTTATCTCGGAGTTTGCAGCTCGGTGATTTGAACTCCAGGCATCATCGAGCTGCCCTACTGCAAATGGCAACTGCTCTCAGGAAAAAAGGAGAACTTGGCGATGCTCACGATTACTGCTCGGTACAGTCACCTACACCTGTTAGGAACCATTAGACACCCATTGAAATATTTGTTTCTTTTTTCAGGAAGCCACTAGATTATCTTTAGTTTCTGGTGATCAGGCGAGCTATGCCAGGAGTATCCGGATAATGGGTGACATTTACAGAAAAAAATCTGATATTAATGTACGTTGTTAATATAGCCGGCGATGAGGTTCATACTTTGCCTTAATAACTCACTCTGTCAATAGCAACATAATCTTTCCACTTTTATTTTCATGAAAAAAGGCAAAAAATACAAATTTGTTCTTTTATTTGACATTTTTCAGAAAGCATTTCGTCAGTACGAGAGCGCGATGGGCTCAGCGGCAGCGACAGGAGACCGATTGTGCCAAATGGAAGCAATGGATGGAGCTGCTAGATGCCTAGAAGCTCTTAGACTCCAGCACAAGATATGTAACTGCAGGCCGTTGGAGTTTAACACACGACTTCTCGAAGTTGCGAGTTCTGTTGGGGCCAAAGTAAGTGCCCACAATACAATTTATCGTGGCATGCCAATCAATCCCAAGTTTAATTATTATAGTATACAGTAAATAACTCGGATGAAGGTTTTGGCGAATTAGTTTTACTAGTAAGAGGGTGGAAATAATATGTGAGAGAAGAGGAAAAATGTGCCACGGCCAGAGAAAAAATTGCAAGGGTGTTATTTGGAGGTATTGCATATCCTCGCCAGCCACACCTTCAACTGTCGATAAGACAGGGCTGATTGTGAAAATCTCGTTAAATTACAATATATATATGTTGACTTAATTGCGTCACGTTCCAGTGCCACATTCATCTCCCTCTCGTCTCAATTCCATAGGGGCTAATATATTTCTCTTTCTTCCTTCTTTTTGTGTACACGCTAAGCTTTTAGTGAGAACGGTGAGGTGCCGACTATCACGAATCTACAGTTCTTTGGGGGATGAGGAACAAAAAGGTCATCACGAGAGAATCGCTGCTGCTACTGAAGAGGACTTGGAACTTCGATGCGGTGGTTGTAATGAGCCTTTTGGCTTAGAGGCTGACTCCCTTGAGGCATTGCCTTGCTCACATATACTTCATGCCAGGTATTGTATTTTTCCGCTTTTATCAGATCTACAATTTCACCTTTCAGGCCCAAATCATCGAATTCATTGTAATTTTGTCATTATCATTTTTGTTGCTCTGCGCTTTCCAGATGTGCTAACGACATATTGAAAAGACGCGACAAGAAGAAGAAACGTCTGTGCCCAGATTGCCATAAATCGGTGAGCTCTCGACTGTATTTACACTGCGAGGAGTCCCACGACTTGAATCAGAGTTCCTTGAGCTTGGCCTCGTTGCGTGCTAGTAGTCTAGCAACCCTGGACGATTGTCACGCCACGAGCAGTGTTTGAATAAAATGCAAGGTACAAAACAAACAGCGATACCATACGATTTAATGCAATTAATTGACTAAACTATCAACCACCGCGACGGACTCTAATCAATTGTTACTACACGTGATATAATCATTAGGCTCAGTTAATGAATAACAATGTATCAATTAGCGAGAATATTGACGAGTATTTTCGCATGATAAACAATGTTGTTATCGAAATATCGCACATAGAATTTTTTTTTCCCGATCAATGCTGATCAGTTTTAGAGCTTACTACCTAAACAAAAAGGAATTCAACGAATAATAACTCGTGAGATTTATCATCTTGATCAGATATATTTTCGTATATCTGCATGCACTAGCAATTTTACTCATCTCAGAGGAGTCTCTCGAGTCGAATAGAATCTCTGGCGTCACACTGACTAAACGATGAAATTGTCTACTTGAGAGATAACAAATTTTAACCATTGTTGATGGTATATTGATAATTGTTGAAGAATTATAGATTATCGTAGAACTAAGAGAGCAAATGCAAACTTGCACTTCCTAGATTCGAGAGCTATCTTTCCATTACGTTTGGAGTTTTCACTTATATTTTTATCTAGTCAATGAATAGTTGTAAAGGTGCTACTATGCAATACCAGGAATAATGGAGTTGACCCATTTTATGAGTTAGTAAGATATTTTTTAGAACAACTATTTGTCGTGCACAATGTGAAGAACCATCATTTTTTAATATTTTTATTATGATATCCTGCTTTTAATATTGTCATTCATCTTTATACGTGCCAAAAAATACTTCAAGTTGAATATGAAAATAACAATTAACTGAATCAATTAAGTATGAAAAACCTGCCATAATATTGATATTAGTTAGTATGAGGTAAATTCTTAGAAATCAGTATTTAAGTTTTTCTGAAATCAAACTACTTGATTCTATGTAATTATCAAGTGTAATTATCAAGGGCAAGTAATTTTTTAGTTTTGTGTAGTCGCACACTCACTGCCATTATTCATTTACCGGGAGGACAACAATTACCTTAAATTTCTTCTCAACTGCATACAATCACTTCATGATGAATTAATTAGTTTTGAATCATTTTTCAAAATTTTATTACAAGGCAACCGATTTTCTTCAAACATAATAGGGACATTAATTTATCAGTTGCTACTTATCATTGCACAACCCATTATACTGATGTTCTCCCAAAATTCAATTAGTTCCAGACCGATAAAACAAATTAAAAAATGAACTGTTGCATTTTTTAATTACTATTTAAGATGGTAGAAATGCCAGTGACATAATGAATGATGAGATTAGTTTAAAGCTCGCATGGAGCTGTGGCCACCCCCACCACCCCGACCCACGCTAATGGTTGTGACCTAGATTTCGCTCGTTTTAACCCTTCATCACATGCTCAATGAGCGCCGCACCGAGCCGCCGCTTTACTTTTCTCTCTTTTTTTTTTCTTTCTTTTTTTTTTTTTCTTCAATTATACAAAACTTTAAGCAGTAAGAAAATAGAAAATATTTCTTCGCTTCGTTTGTATATTCTGGAATGAGAAAATTATTGCGAACGCAAGCGAAAAAGGAAACACACACCCATGTATCACGGTCGGCCATATTTAGGTCATGGTCATTCGCGGAGGATGGGGTAAACGGGGTGCTCACAGCTTCATTCGAGCCTTAAATGTAGGCGCAACAATTAGGAATTGTGCACGAATAAACTAACAATTCAAAACGAAAACGAAGGCATTACTTAACGTTGAATTAGATGAATTTTATTACATTCGCATTCTTAATCGCGCAATTGATAAAAAGATACAAAAAATATTGAAGAAAATTGTTTTCTGTGGAAATTAACGCACAATCAGACAATGTCTGTAGACATGCACATTGCGCACTTGTATAAAACTGGTATATGCTCATGAACCGGCAGAGACAATTCAAGTGAAGAATTCTATTGTAAGACGCCCAATGTGTAAGTTCTTCACGATTTCCAATTAGGATATCATTAAGACAAACAGAAGATTGAAAAGAGAATATAAATAGAAAACACGGAGAAAAAAATGTTAGAAGAATATCATGAAAATGGCGTTGATGGGATGTAGAAAAGAATAGCATAAGTAAGCCAAGAGTGCGATAATTTTCAATTTTCCCAGGGTAATCATAGAACTTCAATTTCCTATTTTCGGAACCAAAATTCGATTTTTCCGTTTCCCTTCAGGTTAAAGCGCAGCGGAGATTCAATATAAAAATTAACACTGAGTAACAACAGTAAAAAGTTACAGAGAAACGATATAATCATCTCATAGTAACATGGAATATTTATTCTTCCCAACAGACTATTTGTGCAAAACAAAAAACCTAAACATCACCATGCAGTAGGGTAAAAATGACGTTGCAACTATGAAATAAAAAAATATATATATTTTGAATAATCATCCCTCGCTTCAGAATTACGTGAAATGTGATGTAATTTTTCCCCGATTTTTTTCTCCGTGAGAAATAATGACATCCAATGGACCGAGTACCTCAGATAAGAATAAATGTTATTGAAAAAAGAAAACAACAAAATATAAAATAATAAACACCAAACTGTTTGATGATTCCTTGAGTTAGTCCAATATTTATAATCCTATTGCATTCGGCGAATATTTTCTCGTTTAGAATGATTGAAAACTCTTTTGTAAATGGTCAGTTAAATAATATTGTTTCATTAAAAAATTACCAATGCAATTATATTGAAGGTGTTGATATGAAGAAATTGTTAACGAACTCTCGTAGGTGTTATCAGAATTTCAAAGTATAGAGAGGTCGTCACATCTTTAACAGAGTGTCATATTCAGGGAGACGAGATGGTAAGAGTGAGTACACATTGGCATTTTCATAATAGAGTGGGGCGGTTAAACTTGTTCCCCGAGTCTGTATGTGTGATAGCAAAGTTGTTTCCTTCAGTATAATTCGCTCTCGTTCAGTTGCCTCACCACCGGGTGTCAATGAAATTGTAGTGTAAGTTATTACTGATTAGCAATACATACACTGTACACTGGATAAGGTGTTTTTAAGAATTGGCCATTTGAATTTGTGAAAAGTTGCAAACGACCTTGCTCTTTTCGCTGAAAATATCCGACTACGTCATCAGGAACATTCATTGAAATGCTGACATGAGGATAAATTGCTCCATCGCTAATAATGATAATAAAGTACAAGACTTGAACATTTAACTCATAAAAATCATCAATAAAAAGCAAAAATCATCCATTGGAAAACGAGTAAGCTATGAACCTATGTAATGGTAAATCCGCAGAGCCCGGAGCTGAGCAACATTGATGCTGATCGTGTCTGGGAAAGGAACAACAATGCGAAAAATCAAATAGATAAGTTAAGCTACACTAACCCAATAACGAAAAATAGTGATTGTGAAATTAGCAAAATCAGTGACACTGCCACCAGTCAATCACCCATAGTCTCCTATAAAGACGATGGTAGCCATGGTGTACCATCTGCGCAGTGTAGTGACGTAGAAAATGACGTTGATTCTGTACAAATTGATGATTGCGAGGAGTTGGGCGGATGGATGACGAATTTACCAGTATCAAGTGTTGAACATGAAACAAGTAATGGACAAGTATTGCCGAGTCTCGATAAAACTACGTTCGGTCAAGTTTGTATTAGTAGCTCCAATCATGTGAGAGTGGGTAATACAACGCTCTACAAGGGGCCCGTTACAATAAAGCAATTTGTTTATGCCAACTCCGCATCACCGGAAAGTGGTGAATTGAGAAATGGCAAACGCTTGTCTGATGTTAATTGTAATGAAGGGAGCAATGTCACCAATAGTACAACTCCAATATTTCCACCGAGTCGCGAATACGATAAAGGTAATGCTTATTATATTGGCTCAAATTCAATTAGAATATATTACTGTAATTAAAAGTATTGACGATTTTTTAAAAATTTGTCTCTAATTGAAGTCATTACATTCTTCCATTATCTTTTGAGATCACTGGTACCGATAAGAATTCCCGAAGTGAAATTAGATCATGCTCATTCAATGACTCTGCCAATCATTAAAAAATCTTAATACTTAACATAATTTAAGAAATTTCAAATCTTTCACTACATTAGATCGAAAATTTACTTGGTCTGGGGTGAGGATACTGAAAGCATAATGTCGTTGGATGTTCTAAAATCTTGTGGTTAGTCTCATATCCTTGATCACTATTCATCCAAGTTATGAATTTAAATTAATTATCCGAGTGTTCCTATTTAGTGATAAAATGGTTGTGGACGTGGAGATGTGCTGCCCTTCTAAGTGTCTTGGCACTCATTCTTGTGACAGTTATCGTTGTAGTATCTGTAATGCAGACGAGGTATGAGGCTTTATCACCACTGGGACCAGCCCTTGATCCTAACGGTAAGAATATACTTTTTACCAATTGTTATGAGTCTGCACTGGATTCCTTATAAAAATAATTTCATTGTGTGTTTTATGTTGTTTCATAAAAGCAAGATGTAATGTTTTATTTTCAAGTAATGACATTTGTTCATATACCCTTTACAGATGGTGGATGAAAAACAATTTTCACAGATATGTGATAAAAGATTGTAATAATAGTTATATTAAACATTTATTCATTTTTCTTTTATATAGATATCGTAACAGAGGAAGTTAAATTTGTGAAACGCATCGATTGGGGCGCACAACCTCCAACCATCCCAGCTACTCCACTACAAATTCTTCCTGCACCATACGTCATAATCAGTCACACAGCATCCGAGATGTGCTCAACACAAGCCGAATGCTCTCAGCGTGTCAGAATGGCGCAGACAATACATATCGAATGGAATAAGTGGGACGATATAGGATACAACTTTCTGGTGGGTGGGGATGGACTGGCGTATGTGGGGCGAGGATGGGACGTTGAGGGTGCACATACCTACAATTATAATAAAAAGAGCATTGGCATTAGTTGTATTGGCACATTCAATACCGAGAAACCAAACAAACGTCAGCTCGTTGCACTTGCCCGGGTCATTGATGTTGGTGTGAAAAATGGAAAAATTGCGAAAGATTACAAGCTACTGGGGCATCGACAATTTACACCAACACTTAGTCCTGGGGATGCGCTTTATCAAATTATTCAAAAGTGGGATCACTGGGTCGCAAAACCATAGGATACTTACATCACTAAATATTCAATAAAATTGAATTCGTAATTTTATGCCAATTTTCAGCGTTTTCATTGTGATCATAACGTAATTGTCAAATTGGTGTTGAGTTGAGTTTCAATGTAATCAGTATGTGATGATGGTTTTTTTTTTTTTAGAAAAAAAAAAACACGTACCAAGCGATACCAATTGGTATTCCCTCCTCAATTTATTGATCAGATTATATTGAGGCTATTCTCTGTGTTCCACTGCAATTTTCCTTTTCTTTTCAAAATGTTTAATACGATTTTCCAAACTTTCTAAAATTCCAAATTGATATGTTAATTCTGAAACAATTATGCCGTGGAATACAAAAGACTTGGGGCCTATTTTCAAGACTAATGTTATAAGAATGAAGTTTTCAACATACCACAAGTTATTCTTTCCATCAGTGGCTGATAAATTTTAGATTGAACACCTTGGATTAGGCCTTCGTTTTGGAAGCTCAGACTCTCTTCACTTTTAACGCGATCCTCCAGGTCTTCAAGCATACTCCTAACCATGGCAGCCCTGTTGAATCAAAAATTCACGAGTGAAACTTTATTCCGTCTTCAATGAATAAATTACAAAATCGAACAAGTAGGTCTTACTTCACAGCATTAAACGTCCAATCCTTTTGCAGAGTTTTAATTGTTAAAAGCAATTCTTCATCGTCATAAAACCATTCTACGTCATCATAATCGCAGTGGAATAAGTTCAGGGGGACTTCATGGGCTAGACTGTACTGGGGTTTTCGAGGGCAGACCTCAATGTCAAATAGGTCCAGAAATATTTCTGGCTTCTCTTTTCCCTGCCCTACGAGTAATAATATCCCCATTATGCATCTAATCTGGTGCCAGAGGAAGGCTTGGCTTTTGATGAGAAGATGACACATATTGTACCCTAAAAGATGCATTATATTATTGTTAAATAAACATTGATTATTATTATTATTATTTTTAGTTATATATGATGATTGAATTTTCTTACCTGATCTCTCAGAATTTTCATCATCATGGCAGATGATTCTAGCATCTTGAATAGTTCTAGCAAATGTGACAACTCCATTGGCGACATCCATCTTGCAAATATTCCTGAAATCGTGGTGGCCAACTAGGTAACTAGCTGCTTTATTCATACCATCAATATCAAGATTTCCTTTAGGGAAAAAATATTTGTAACTTCTGCTTTTGCAGTCGAAACGAGCAGAGTAGTTGTCTCCCACTGGAGCCCATGCTATGCACTTGATATCTTTCGGAAGAATCCTATTTAACATCTTGCAGTACGACAATTCTTTATGGAACCCCTTTTGATCGCTAGGAATTAATTTACTTCGGACGTTTAGGGAGATCACTTGAGAAAATGCACTCACACCTTTATCAGTTCTTCCACACCTGTGATAATTAGAGCTTTTACGGTTTTCTACCAAACAAGATTTTCTCAATGCCTCGAAAATGTGATGTTCTATTGTGTTAGTTGTATCTTCCTGTTCCACGAATCCATGATAATTCCATCCGAGATAGTAGAATTTCAGGAGAATATGTCTTTTGGGGCACCTGGAATTTCAAAGATTTATTGGTGGAAAAGGTTTTAGGTATATCCTCCATCAAAATATGTCAATAATGAAAAAAAAAAGTCAGTCCTTTTCAATCTTAATACAAAGAGAAACACAATTTCACCAGTTGCCGATGTTAGATGAAACATTTTGTTTTACAAAGGTGTTAAAAGTTGATGCCAACATTTTTTTTCATACGATGATTTTACTAGCCATAAAAAATATCGTGAACTATTGTGACTCTTTGGTGGTGCTCCTCAGGGGTTGCTCTCAATAATGGAGAATTAATTTCGATGGAGGTTTAGCAGAAATAATTACCGTACAAAGTCAAAAGGCTTTCCGGATTGATTTGATCCAGATTTTCCATGCGTCTTGTCAGAGTTTCTCATGATATTTTTCAATTGAAATGTGTGGGCCTCCAACTGTAATATTCTGTCAATTAAATCCTTGATAATCGACGAAAAACGAAGTATTTCATTAGTTCAATTGTTGTGTTGAGTATTTGATTCTGGATAGAGAATTTATTAACCTTACTTTTTTATCGAGAAGCTGCAAATTCTCTCTGCAAGATTGGTTTTTGAAATGTTTAACTCGCTTCACTGAGATTTCCTCCATAATGATATTTTAAGTATTGTGAAATTTAATGACTGAAAGAAACAGGTAAATAAACAGGTAAAATAATCAGGCAAAATTCTGCGTGTATCGTTTTTTTTTCCTTACATACATAGAGGAGAACATAATGGCTTCAAATGAAAAATCCAATTGGTGAAAGTCGAAAGAAATAAAAATGGCGGCTGCGAGAGTAACCAATCAGGGCAGCGAGCAAAGAGGATTGACTAAAGTACAGGCTCAGATCTGGGCGTTTGAGTGACCTCAAAGGCATTGTAGTACCTCACCCCACGGGAGAGAGGTCGTTACACGCAATTGTGAGGTGTCTGCCTGTCAGCCGACTCGTTAACTGCCTCAGTAGTAGCCCCGCTGTCAGAAGGACTAGTCGATAGGGTGAATTTCATTTTCTGCGTTACGAAATTCGTATTCACGGAAATTTTAGAATTTTATGGAGTAACCATTCAAGCAATAATGAAAATTCCAGGAAAAGATGAACGGATCTGAGTTACGGAGCGCCCAGCGATTCATAATAGAAGTGAGTTAGCCCTCGGGGCGTGATTTTTAATTTTTTTCACTTTTTGACCAAATGGCACTTGGAAAATTTCAAAAAAAAATTCACCATTCACGAAATTAATACTCTCCACTGACCAATTCGAACCCAAAAAATATCCACCAGGATCACACTGATCTCTTGCTAAAAACCCTGAAATTCCCACAACACGACACCGACCCACACTCACGATCTTTTTCCCCGGATATCAACATAGTCCACTAATGATTTTCGGTTTTCACGAAGCAATATTGCACCAAAAACAATGTCGTTATCAATCGAGGATGTTATTAATACTACGTCGTATCCACTCCCCCACAAAAAACCGGGAAAAAGTCTATTTTTCTCACGATTTGCCGCCTAATAAAATGGCGGGATCCGGAAATTTTGGCGGTTTAGCAAACACGTTAGAAATTCTTTGTTGCCGGTCCCGCGTCGTTCTTAACAGACGAAGGCGCATTCGCTTGGAGTGTCTGCGCATGGCAATGCCCGTAGCCTCTTGTGCGCATGCGTGGGGTCTC